TTCAAGTTTTGATGTTTATCTTTATTTTCTACCAATTTTTTGCCACAACAATGTTTCTGGGTGATCAATTATAGATTTAAAAATAAATAAAATGGAAAAGAGAGCAAGTGTCCTGTTTTGCTTTAGAGTCCATCTGAATTCAGTTTGCTTTTATTCAACGTAGAAAATTATTTAAATCTTGTCCCTTCCTAAAGCTAGTTCTGCTTATTCTGTCATTATAAAGCTTACAAATGTGTATCACTTTCTCTGAATAACTACATTTAAAAAATGGCATTGTTTTTCACCTCAGCTATGTTAAATTTTACAATTCTCTGTCCCCTAAACCAGTATTCAGTCCAGCAGAGCCTCCCCCCCCCAATAAAAAAAAGGCACGCTGCCTGCTTAAGATGCACAGGAATTCCCTAGAACAGCATCAGCCTGGTCAAGTGCATCATGAATAATTCTATTCTGTGCAATTGTGTGGTGTCCAAGATACAAAACCTGCTAAGTCAAATGCAGATACATTGATAAACAGGTTTTTCTAGTAATAGTTTGTGATCTTTAGCACAATGATTCTTATGAGGGTTTTTGAAGGGGGAGGGTGGGAGAGGGGTGTCAACTGTAAAGGATCTGCATTGTAAGTTTTATTTATGTGCAAAACTTGATAACAGAAGAAAAGAAATCACCTAATTATTTATAATATACAAAAAAAAAAAATTACTGTCACTGAGAGAGAAAAATAAAACCAATGTGCTTGATTTACTGAGGAATAATTACTTGGCCAACAATAAAGCAGACTTGTGCACAAATTATTTCCAGTTGGTAAAAACAAATCATACGTGTTTTAACCTCCAGTTGAACTATTTGAATGGGCCAGGAGTTAACTTTGGAGTATCAGTCCCGTACGTATCAATTCGTTCAGACAGTTTAAAAAAAAAGAGATTTGATTCATTCGTACCAACTGGATATAATTTGTGCACAAGTCTAGTTGCAATTAGATTATATTTTGGCAAGATATGGGTTTTAATAAGGATACAAGTCTGTCAAGGGGGGAAGGCAGGTGCACTGAGGGTCTTGTGTGCAGTGTTACCATCCAGAAGAGCGGCCGTCTCTTCTTGGCTCGGCCGCACGTAGGCCCCTTGTGTTTTACGTGGGTAACCGGGTAGAGTTTGTCTTGCTTGTGGGTTCCTTTGATGCCCCCCGGTTTCCCCAGCTTGTCTCGTGCCCTCTGACTTGTGGGTGAGTTTGCTTTCGGGGTATTTTTCCCCTTTTGTCACTTCTAGCCGGAGCTGATCCACAACACGTCTATCCTTTAAACACATTTTTAAATGCGCCATCTACACAATCATTTAAAAATAGGAGGGTAATTTGAGGCATACAATGTACTGTTAAAAACAATTGCAGTTCAATGTATGTGCACATCAAATATTACTGAAATCCAATGAACGTTTTGAAATTTATTTTTTAATAGAAAAGAAAATTTTGCAAAAAAAAAAAAAATGTTAAGAGAAGTGGACTCATTTTGAATGTTGCACTGAAGTATTGGAGTTTTACTTCGCATTTTTAGCAGTTCATTTGTATCAACATGTGTCAGTTTTTTAAATCTAGTTTTATGCAATATATGCTGCATTAAAACTTCATTCAAATTAACAGATGTGTGTGTGTGTGTGTATCTGTTTATAATCACTGAGGGTGATTTTGGTTTAAAACAGATTTTTGGGTTAATCTGTGCTCCAATATATGGTGTTCATTTTTCCAAGTAGATAGTATAAATAAATAGAGTTCCCCAGATTTCAGTGGATCACTGATATCTGGGAAACCCTATTTATACTAACCACAAGTATAGCATTTACTCTGACCAACATATTTTTTTCTTATGCATACACTGCATTAAAACTACCAAATTTATATAAAGCTAGTGGTTTTAAATGAGGTTTGTGAATAGGAGTATTTTATTGTACCAGTGAAAATCAGCACAGACACACAGTGATAATTTGTAACAGTTTTATTATTTGGAGTTTGAGACCATTTTTCTAAATACAGTATTCAATGAAAATGTAATCCTACACCAATCAGAAAACAAGCTAGACATTGAAGACACACAAAAGGGAATTTGTACAAAGATCATTTTAAAAAAGTGACAAAAAAAATAAATTTAAATAAATGAAAGTTACAAAATTTCATACCAATTTCACTAAGTCAGTAAGAGGCTCACAGTTGTTCTACAAGAACCAAGATTCTTAATACCAAGTCAAAAATGCTAAATTAAAAACAAAGAAAAAAAAACTACAGGACTAATAACTTGATATGTCCAGAAAACAAAGAAAAAAAAACCACAAAATAAAACAGTGGTCCCTTTTGTGGCAGTGTTCCTTTACCAAAAGTGATATTGGGCAAGTCTTTAACATGCTACATTAAAGTTACTATGAACCATTACTTCAAGTCAGCTTGATGACTTTACAAAAGACTCTAGAGGTTAGTTCTAAGATATCACAAACCCAATTCATTTACAAGTGAGCTCAAAATTGTATTCTATTAAGAGTTTGGAATTTGTTCTAGTGAAAGGAAAAAATATATATATATATATAAAAATTAGCCAAAATATCCCAAGATATACAGAAGAAGAAAAAAAAAAAAAAAAAACACACACACAAAGAGTATAGACAATAAAATCTACTCACACAACAAAAATATCAAACTTTCATTCAGTGAAGAGTCATGTCTTCATATACATGTGATTTAAATACCCTTCAAAATATATTTTGATTTCCCTAATAAATAGCATAAGGTCTTAAGAAACTTCTTTAGATGACAACTGTACAAAACAGGCCAAAATTATCAACAATCCACCAAAATACAAAGTGCAAAGTACATCAGAATTATGAATCCACTTTTTCCCCATATCTATGGTTTTATGGGTACACTACATAACTACAGCAGATATACAAGTTAAACCATTGTTTTCGTCTAAAGAAACTTCTACAACAGGGCGATTGTTGGTCAGTGACCACGACTGCAGCAGTCCCTGTTTTATGTGGATCACAATGAAAAGACACTTAACATTTCCAGTATACTTTATATCTTCAATTAACAAAAAAATGAAATACAAAACTCTCGTGATCAGGCTTCCATTGCCATCGTATAGTAATCACCCGTAGCAGTTATAATAACGATATGTATTCCTAGGTCTTTGGGATAGTATGATGTCTAACTTTGCATTTTAGAAATAAAGAACAAAAAATAAATAAGAGCAATAAGTGATTGGACTTAATGACCATATTCAGAATTGGTGCAATCTATCGCGGTGTTGGCATTGTAAGAGTTAGGGGTATTTTGTCAATGTAGTGCCTCTAAAGAGACACTGAAAACTAGTGGACCTATACAGCAAAGGCTTTTGGTGTGAAACAACTGGTACAGATGTCTTAAAGTATAAGACGTAACTGGTTTCTATGGAGGAGAGTATTTTATTATTATTTATTATTTTTATTAATTATAGATGTGTGGATAATCTTTATAGCAGAACTCTATAAAGACTCTCCACACATCACACTCTACATTCTAAACTATTAGTGTTTTGAATGTCCCTTTTTAAATGTGGTATGCAATCATATTTGCAAACACTGTAATCATTGCTTCTTGCATAGGTTATACAGCTAATAGCACCCTATAAAGTTCTCCCTTCAACCTACAGAGATTTGAACAAGTTGCTGCAGCTGTAAGTCTCACTCTCATGCACCAGCACAACTAGCTGTATGTTACATACAAACCATAGAAGCCCCTTCTTTCCTAGCTTTGTATGTGTTGCAGGGTTACACCCATCTATATTTTTCGAGCATCTGATAAGCCGTTTACGTTTTGTTAGGTATTCTTTTTAAATGTGGAACATCATATCCCACAGATATCTGTTCGAGAATGGAAGAGTACAGAAACAAGTTTAGAGCTTTCATCCCTTTCCAGGTCTCCGTAGAGCTCCCTGCAGATGCTGCAACTTCTGGGGATTTGCAGCAAACACAGGTAATAAAAAAGTCAAGTCACTATTCGCATTTTAATGTTTGCCATTCTTTTCAAATATATAGCATAAGGTCTTAAGAAACTTCTTTAGTAACGTCTCTTCATGTCATCATTAGAGGCCTGTTAAACACTGCAGCATGAGAGAATCAAGCTATGTAGAAAAGAGTTATACATCTACAAAGGCAGATACGCAATTGATGTTGTATGCTAAAACCTTATTCTGCAGCTTAATGAAAATTCCAGGCAAAAATTACCCAAGACTGTATGGATCGCTCTGCTAAAATAACGAATGTTGGTATAAGTCCATTAAACAGAGGGAAAATGCCCGACTCTAAAGAAATAAATGTCTAAATTTGAGAGATTGCCCTTACACACAGTGTGTTACTAATTTAACACAGTGTGTTATTACTTTGGAAACCAAGACCCTGCTGCTACAACCATTTTTTCTTGAATTGCATAATAAATACTTAAAGATGCAAAGCCCAACCATGTTACAAGCAAGGGTCTGTACATTTTTGGTAGATATAATTGAAATGAAGCAATTTTAAAAAAGTTCTTATCAACTAGCAACACTTACTTCCTACCAAAACATTTTTACATGCCCATTTCTTCAAGTGAGAGTGGCCACACCGTTGGCTGTTCAGCCACAACAGGTCAAGAGTGCACATCGTTTGTTGGTAGGGGTTTTAGTCAATTAATCGAAAGCTGGCTACCCCCAAATTAGCTGATCAGAAAGAACATGACAGCATGATGCATATATAATTGAGTAGATGTAAGCAATGCATTAGGTTATGATTCTGATGGGTTCCTGTCAGTGGTTTTAAACTTGAGTGCAGCCCTCAAAAAATACAAATACAGTCTTCAGTATTAACTGCATAAATCTGCATGGTCACAACAAAAGTAGACATTGCTGATACAATCTGCAGAAGGATGTTCCTCTGTTCTCAAAAAAACAAAAATAGCAAATAAAGAAAAATAAATAAGTGTTGTCTCCTATATTCCATTGGGTCCTATTTGCCTCCATACATCCGCTCGATGTCAGTTAGATAGTGGTTCTTTAATTCTTTCCTCTTCAGTTTAAAGGCATCTGTTACAAGGCCTGTTTCAGGGGTCCAGGGATCAGGACTTAAACGTACCTTAATTGGAATTTCAAAGCGTTCTAATTTCACTGCAAAACAAAATTTTATAAAGTTACAAAGCTAGAAGCCCCAATGATTCTTTACAATTGTTTAACTGTACTCAAGCCTTTTCCTATGTAGAGTAGCAAAGATATCCAGTGCATCAACCAACTTTCTGTACTTCTCATATCAAAATGCATTATTATATGGTAGAACTGGGGGGGGGGAGGGGAGGGGGGCTGGATATTGCACCATGGATGCCCTCCATTTTATAAAATTATTGTAGGATGTTGGATACAGACACTATATAAGAATTGCTAAATGAATACACTATGAATATGACCACTAGATGGTAGCAAAGCATTCCACATTTTGAGAAAGAGAGAGAGAGAGAGAAAACGAGAGAGAGAGAGAAAACGAGAGAGAGAGAGAAAACGAGAGAGAGAGAGAAAACGAGAGCACAGTATACAAATTCTACTCTAAATCTATAGTGTCTGCTTTTACGTCTATGTAATATTTGGGATGGGTTTCTTTTTGTTTTTAACTTCAGGTTTCACCAAAACTTTAAACAGCACCAGTAGACAGTGCCCATAGAACACACACAAACGAAATTAAAGGGAAAGCCAGGGAAATATTGCTTCAATATCAGTCACACCAAATTCGGTTTCTTCAGTACATTTAAAAACAATTTTAAATACTTTGAATTTAATCAAAGTTTTTTTTGGTTTGGGGGTGGGACGGGACAATATTTCGCTACTTTTGCGGAAATTCACAATCAAGAGCATACAGTACCTTCAGTGAATTAACCAGTTGGTAAAATTTATAGGATACCTGCATTATTTAATTCAGTAGCTAAAAGCACAACACAATGCTAGAGATGTACTAAACAGGATGTCACTCACTTGAGCTTGCCACCTCCTTAAACTCCCTTAATACTTCTGCCTCCATTGTGGGATTGTTACAGATCTCCTCCCATGTGCCTTCGATCCCTTTCTGTTGTGCTAAACCAGTGAGCTTCTTCTGATTAGGAACTACAAAGCTGATCACGTAAGACTCGAAACTGTAACAGGATATAAGGAAGATTAGTACATGCATCTTCAAGGGTAAAACTCAACACTAAAACCAATTGCATGAAGTCAGCTGCTACTGCAAGTCTCTAAAAGATTCTTGTCATGTTACTTGGCAGCTGTTAAGGTCATGCTCTTTTATACACCATGTCCGATCAGCATGTGCCAATTTCACCACATTAAAAAGCATGTTGCAACAGATGACGTGTTCTCTTAAGGACAAAAGAGAAAATGATAATTCAGTTATACAAGAACATCTTTTCAGACCAACCAGAAATATGTATAGTTTTAGATCTGTGAATTTAACAGGGAAATGAAAAATTTACTTATGTGTTTTAGCCTGTATTGATATTGCTGCCTTACAACATTGTAATGGTCATAACTTAATAGAAAATGTAGTGGTTTTGAGACTGGTTAGGTACCGTATATACTCGAATATAAGACAAGTTTTTCGGCACATTTTTTTGTGCTGAAAACCCCCCACTCGTCTTATACTTGAGTGAGTGTCTGTATTATGGCAACTTACATTGCCATAATACAGACAAGGACCGCCGGGCTCATTACAAGCCCGGCGGTCCTGTTGGAGGCTGGAAGGAAGCGTTTACTTACCTTTCCTGCAGCTCCTGTCAGCTCCCTTCTCTCTCCTCCGGTCCGGTCAGCTCCCCTGCAAGTCTCGCGAGAGTCGTGGGGTCAGAGCGCTGCCACGGGTTACCGTGGCAACGCTCCGCGCAGCACTCAGACCACGAGACTTACAGGGGAGCTGACCGGACGAGAGAGAAGGGAGCGGACAGGAGCTGCAGGAAAGGTAAGTAAACGCTTCCAGCCAGCCCCCTCCTACACAGTGCACACCACTGGACCACCAGGGAATGAGAGCCCCCCTCTCTGACCAGCTAACAAGCAGGGAGGAGGGACGAAGAAAAATAACATACACACACACATATACATATACATATACATATATATATATATATATATATATATATATATATATATAAAATAATATATTAAAAAAAAAAAAAAAAAATTAATAAAAAAAATGCCCACCCCCCACCAAGCCTCTGCATCACACACACACTCACTGCATTCATACACACACTGCATTCATTATATACACACACACTGTAAATAAATATTCAATTAATATAATTTTTGGGGGATCTAATTTTATTTAGAAATTTACCAGTAGCTGCTGCATTTCCCACCCTAGTCTTATACTCGAGTCAATAAGTTTTCCCAGTTTTTTTGTGGTAAAATTAGGGGTCTCGACTTATATTCGGGTCGACTTATACTCTAGTATATACGGTATTCCTCTCCAATCTAAACTGCTGTTTTCTACAGACAGAATTGGTCCAACTAAAATACTAGTAGTAATGTTAATGTCGTTGCTTAGAGACCCATATTTTTTTCCGTGATGTATCTAAGAAGCTAATGGAAGAAAAGAAACCCCATCTGCCAAATTTATTTTAAATTAGCAGGTTATAGTCATCTGTATACTAAAGAGGGACAGAACCATTTTTAAATGTATTTTATTTTTTTTAACATATCTCTGTTTTGAACAAATATGTATTTGTGAGATGTGAAAATATGCATAATTAAAATGTAGCAATCAATATCTCTTCCTGCAACTGGGTGACCTCCCCAACCAACCTGGCATCATTTAATTTATGTAGGTAGAAAACCCATACACAAGTAGGGATAGAAGACTTCATTGAGTTTCAAAAAAAAAAAAAGGAAAAAAATCATTTATACACACACACGCAGCACAACATGGACAGAGCAAAACAAACATCCACGCAACACGGAAAACATGTGCCCCGTACCTGTTTGCATAAGCACAGATGTTGTCAATAAGTGGGCAGTTTTTTAATGCTGCTTCAACTTTACCCAGAGACACGTATTCTCCAGCTTGCAACTTCACCAAATCCTTTTTACGATCTGTACAGTACAAAAACGCATTGCAAATACTTTACTTCTCAGAAATAGGGTTAGTGTTCCCAATTAACATTCAATAAATGAAACAAATATTTAAAATTTGCTTGGATAGGCTTGGTACAGTCAACACTTGGAAAACCCCTCTTAGCCATGATATCGTTCATACCAGGATACAGAGACCCTAGCGATTGAAAAGGTCAGCAACTATCAACACACTTCTCCCTCCTTATTAGAGTTCTAGATCCTGTGGCTGAACCTTTTTTAATGTGTCAAGATATGAGCAAATCTTGTAGACCCACTAGAAGATTTGCTCACGTCTTGACATGTTTAAAAGGTTACACTAACCCTTCCTTCCGCCCCCTAGGTAAGGTTTATAAGGTTCTGCCCCCTCGGTTTATTTCAACATGACTCCTTTGTATGCATTATACTACAGCTGCCCAATAACCCCGTTTCTCTACACTACAAGTCTGATCCGCACAGGATTATTGCAAATCATTACTATAATTTGCATAATACGAACATTTTTAAAATAGCATTTTTAAAATGTATTTTTTTACAAAACACAAATTTAAAAAACAAAACAAAACAAAAAAAACCTACCAACTATTTGCAAGCAGCCATCAGGGTGAAATACTCCAATATCGCCAGTGCAAAACCACCTCTGGCCATTCTCATCCACATAAAAATCCTCTAAAGTCTTTTCATCGTTTTTAAAATATCCCATAGAAACATTCTTCCCTCCAATGATAATCTCCCCTCTTGGATTTGGCTTGTCCTCATTTGTATATCCACCTAAAAAAAAAAATACAAATTTTTTTATAAATAAATAATAGTAAATAAATAATTATCAAAACAAACTCAAAAACGCTCATAGCACACAAGTAGTACCAGGATCAAATATCAAGAAGTACTTGACACTAATTCAATAGCACTGCCACCACAGTAAACATTAACGGTGAGATTAGATATTATAATAGAAAATAAACTCCTAGCTTGATGTGGTGACTCCTGAAGTCCTAGCTAAACTGTTTAACTAACCAGCTAGCTCTACTATACTAATTGGTTAAAATGTAAGGCCTGTTATGGACCAGTTACTGAATAGATTTACGATACTCTTAAAAATGTGAGTTATTCTGTCTTTTAACGGTCCGTCTGGTAAGCTATTCTGGATGTAGTAAGATTCAAAACGTTTCTATTTTATGGAGATTCTGTTTCTAGGACAGTAATAATCGCACTCGGCATGCTCTCTAAACAAATAGCAAGACATCACTAAATGGAAAGATTATGAAGCACTGTCAATGTAATTAACTAGCACAGATTACTAGCAAAAAAAATAAATAAAAAAAATATAGATTTCAAATAGCTTCTGCTAGAACATGCTTACAAAAACACAGGAGCAAGATAAGCCAAGCGGTTATATAAATGAAAGCTATCTTGTGTCTGTGTATTAAATAATAACAACCAGTCTAAAAAGGTTTCAAAATATGAAAGTTTTCATAGTTACATAGCTGAAAAGAGACTTGCGTCCATCAAGTTCAGCCTACCTCACATTTGTTTTTTGCTGTTGATCCAAAAGAAGGCAAAAAAACCCCCACAGTTTGAAGCACAATTTTGCAACAAGCTAGGAAAAAAATTCCTTCTTGACCCCAGAATGGCAGTCAGATTTATCCTTGGATCAAGCAGTTATTACCTTACATTGAAAGATTATATCCTTGAATATTCTGTTCTTGCAAGTATGCATCTAGTAGCCGTTTGAACATCTGTATGGACTCTGATAAAACCACTTCCTCAGGCAGAGAATTCCACATCCTGATTGTTCTTACAGTAAAAAACCTTTCCTTTGCCTTAGGCGAAATCTTCTTTCTTCCAGTCTAAACGCATGGCCTCGTGTCCTATGTAAAGTCCGGTTTGTGAATAGATTTCCACACAATGGTTTGTATTGGCCCCGAATATATTTGTATAATGTTATCATATCCCCTCTCAGGCGACGTTTTTCTAAACTAAATAGGTTTAAATTTGTTAACCTTTCTTCATAGCCGATATGTTCCATTCCTTTTATTAGTTTTGTAGCCCGCCTCTGCACTTTTTCTAGTGCCATAATATCCTTCTTTAGAACAGGTGCCCAAAATTGCACAGCATATTCAATATGGGGTCTTACCAGTGATTTATAAAGAGGCAAAATGATATTCTTGTCCCGAGAATGAATGCCCTTTTTCATGCATGACAATACCTTACTGGCCTTGGCCACTGCTGATTGACATTGCACATTGTTGCATAGTTTGTTGTCTATAACAATTCCCAAGTCCTTTTCATGTGTTGTTATCCCTAATTCGCTTCCATTAAGGGTATACGTTGCTTGTGTATTCTTTACGCCAAAGTGCATAACTTTGCATTTTTCAACATTAAATTTCATCTGCCATTTGAGTGCCCAGTCCCCCAGTCTATCTAAATCCCTCTGCAGCAAAGTAATATCTTGCTCACATTGTATTATTTTACAAAGTTTTGTGTCATCTGCAAACACTGAAACATGACTTTCAATGCTGTCTTCAAGATCATTTATAAACATGTTAAATAGAAGGGGTCCCAGAACAGACCCCTGAGGGACACCACTTGCCACCTCTGTCCAGCTTGAAAATTTACCATTAATGACAACTCTTTGTACTCTGGGGCACCCTCAGGGCACTATAGTGCCAGGAAAACTAGTATGTTTTCCTGGCACTATAGTGGTCCTTTAAGCTGAAGTGGTCTGGGTGCTTATAGTGGTCCTTTAAGGCTTCCGATTTCTATCCTACAGCATTTACAGTAAACAATATTCCTGCCAAACACTTTTTCCCCCACTAGAGTGCTCTGTAAAATATAAAACTACATACCTTCTTGCCAATCACGGAGTTTAATTTCACAGCAGGTAAGTGGAGCTCCTACTTTGCCTGTGCTGTAATCCGAAACTAAAAGAAAAGATCGGAGAACGAATGTGATTAGTTTTATTTAGATCCCATAAAAAAGAAAACAATGGTTATATCATTCATCAATACAGTATTAAATGTACTGTCCTGGGGTGACTTGCATAATAAAGTGCTGAAACTCCAGATATTAAAAATGCCTAATCTATAAGGCATTGCAAATAAGAGTCTTCCTTTTAATGACGGAGGATCATGTGAAATATAGTCCTCAAAAGCTGCAATACCAAAAGGTCTTCACAACTCTGTGGTCAATAAGGATTACTTGCCCTCTTCTTTATTAGAATTGTTATATTGGACGGTATTTGCAAAACTCACAAACGCCGATTTGCACAACTGACAAATGTCTTCATTTCAGAACACAAAATAGCACACTGGGTAGGTGTACAATGATTGTGTGAATAAGGTAGATTGGTGCTACTGGACAGATTATGTTGAATATTTTCTCCAATCAAATGATTGTGACATTACCTTGAATATCAACCCATGCCCAAATCCTAGATGACGTGCAGCACAGACAAATAAAAGATTACACACTGAACTAGATTTTTGAGAGATTATAAATAATATAAAACATTACTGGTGACAGGATGGGTTTCCATGTGTCTAAAGAGATTTCTTCTATACATAAAACTATATAAGACCTACAGTGAGAATTCAAGGTGAATTTCAAATCAAAATAGCTAAACTAGTTTAATTGTTTATGTCAGCTGTGCTTTCAATCTGGCTACTCTGGCTTGACTTTGAAATTACATTGGCATTCACTTTGAATTCTTACTTTAGTAAATAAAATCAGCTAAAGAGGCCCAAAAAACCCCAACAAGAGAGAGAGAGATCCTTATAAATGTTCAGTTGATAAATTAGGATATGTTGCTTTAATCAAACAATGACCAGTGTCCGAGAACTTACCTTCAGTGATTGTGCCAGCTCCACATGTTTCTGTTAAACCGTATCCCTGGCCAACAGGACAGCAGAAACAGATGTTCATAAACCTCTGTGTCTGAGAAGACAAAGGAGCACCTCCACACAGCATCATGCGCACATTGCCGCCGAGTAAAGCTTTCACTTTTTTAAAAAGTAGCCTTTTAAGGTAAAGAAATAAAAAAGCACAGGGTCACTCGCCTTTTTAGGTAAACTGTATCCAGGTATGCCTGTCAGAATTCAGTTCTCAACCTTAATTTAAAGGAATGCTCCAAGCACCATATCTACTACAGTGTGCTAAAGTGGTGATGTTGCTTTCCAAGTTCCTTTAAACTTTAGGCAACTAGCAAAAACAGATTGCCAAAGTCATGCTCGTGTGCCCTTTTATGGTCTACCTCTTAGCAATGACTGTTAGTTTTCCTTTCCATTCACCCAGCCCATTCCCTAATTTTCACTTAACCAAGGGTAAGGCTTACCTTCTACTGTATCCATTGTATTAGTAACACCGTAAAATAATTTCCCCCCCAAATAACTAGTCCTCTATAATATCAAATATAATATATTCTAAGCTGTAATGCAGATCTTTATTCAGCAACAGCATCCGATTGTTTGTGAAACTTTACCATTGTGTTCCCAATGTCTGTATGCTTATATGGTGTGCTAGCTGCCAGAGAGGAACATATTGTCACTGGCAGAAAACACTCACAGCAATACAGTAGTCAAATATTAAGACTATGTAATGAATTCACCATAATAGAAGCAGGGTTCTTGAAACCCCATTTCATATACGGTCACAATCAACATTAATGTGCTAAACAAAGCCTTAAGCTTGGTGTGGAACCTGACCTGGCACCCACTTTACTATAGGACCTCCGAAGTAGCCACTGGATTATCCCACCTCCAAATAAATTGAAACCAAATTATCTCCTCAAGTCATTGGTCAGTACTTACACATTGCATATGGGAGCATCATACCCCTTCTTGATTTGCTCCAGCTTGTAGTCATAGCCAAGCTTAAACAAAGTTCTCTGAAATACATTCATTTCTTGAACTTTGCTCATTACATTCTTGTAAATTCGATCCATTATTTCCTGGAAAGGAGGGAAAAATAAAAATAAATCAATGGTTCTATTTTCAGATTAGCGTTACTGCTGCTTAAGCTGATAGATGCACTGTGCCTGCTATTAGCTTACTGACCGCTCTATTTACCCAGTTTCAGAACAAGAGCATAGGTATTACTTTGCACAGGTAGTGTCAGGATTCAGGTTTCTTAGCAGCAGTTGTGATAAAGCTTATAATAGGAGGTAAGGACTTGTATACTGTTCCCACTCTTCGGGTGGGAGGAGGAAGAAGCGGGACTTGTGTCAACTCCATCTAAAGGGGCTGGACTTATAGCTGCATCAAAAACTACAAAGGTGTGCAGTGAACAGGGACATGGTTGCCATAAATTATACAAAAAGCAAACCGTTGTTATAAAGGTTGGATTATGTCTCTAGGCTCATGAGAAGAGTCCTCAATGAAATACATTGTAGCAGAGCTAGGAATATAACAGACTACATGTTTGTGATTGTTCTGTTTAAACAACCAACGTGCATTATAAGTGCTATAGTAATATTAGATCACTTCGAAGTATGCTCTAGTAACAAAATATAGCTCCAGGCTAAACAATAACCTAGCACTCACTAAGGGTGACACATTCACTGCTAAAGGATATGAGCTAAGAATTATTTTTACACTAGATTAACTGCCTGTGGTCAATAAGGAAATAGGTTGGTCTGCGGTATACTAAATAAAGTATTTTCAATGTACATATCAGCCTGAAGAAAGCTACTAGTTCTTCCAGTTTTATGTATTCACGTAATGAAAACCATTTAAGTAGAAACATGCACTATAACTTACAGGCACTGCAGCCATCAGCGTAGGTTTTAGAACTGTGCAATCACCTCTAGTTCCCTTCTTTATTTTGGTAGACTGTGGAAATAAGCAGACCATATAAAGTCAGCAAATAGACTGTCATAATTTGACATTATACATATACACAACTGTATGGAAAATTCAGTCAAGTAAGTGACCATGTTCTAAACGGGATAACATGTAGGAATATTTTACATTAAATTCTTCTATAAGTTTCAATGCACAATTCTACTTTTTCACCAACGACATGGAATCCAAAAATGCAATGAAAACTGGGACTATACTTCTAACCAACTGAACTACCTTTTACATAGAGCATTCAATGGGGAGACGTTTTCTGCACAGTAATTCTGGCTAGCTGCCTCAATGAAAGGTTTCCAAAGTCTAGGTCACCATCAAACAGAACAATGGTGCACTTGAGGAAAGACAGTAGGATGTAAAGTCATTAAACCATGAAGTTCAGAAGAGTTTAGTTAACCTACTCCCATAGAGTGAAACCTAAAATAAAGCCTGTATTATACAGGACACAGTGGCCTCTGTCAATAATGCAGGCTCTTACAAAAGGACAAGAAGTGTTCACAGCATATCCAATGTTAGCAGCCAATTGTAACAGGATGAATTTACAAACTCTGGAAATAAAACACTGTTGCCAGTTTAACAATAACCATCTTTGTGGTGGCCATAAACAGCAGGGATCGCTTGTCATGCTTTTTAGCTTTCCCCTGCTATTGCCAACTACAAGTCTTTGTTACAGCAAGGGAGACATGTTGCGCAGAAAGCATGCTGTTCATGATGAATAGTTCTATAAAATACAGAGGTTGTACACAATTAAAAAGGTATTAAGAGAACATAAATTAGCATACATTTGTCCAGGCATGCATGTTTAGGAGACTGCTGCCCTTCTGTTTCACACATTATATTGGATGAATATTAGCACCCCACCCTGTCAAAATACCACATAAAAGGGTCCTAAAGAAACCTCTCTGCCGAGAACCCTAGAGGATAAAGGTCCTATAGAAGGAGTTAATCTCATGGCAGTCGTTTGATTAGGACAGTATGGGACTCACCACATATCAGATACATGGTGCATTTTACAAGTCTATTTAGGTTTTTATATTTAATTGGCCCATCCTCTAAACAAAACAAATTAATTTGTTTATACGGACAATAATAAAACAGAAAATACACAATACCTTATGTGCCAGAGGAAAAACAAAAACAGCACACCCATGTGAACACAATTTGTAATCTTTTTAATTATTGGGATTTTTGCCACACCAGTTTCCACTTCTCCCTCACAATTGTTTTACACCAACCCCATTTCCAAAAGTGTAAGTGTAGCAATATCATGTAAACTATTAAAGCAATGCGATGTAAAAAAGCAAGACCAAACTCGTGCTTTTCAAACAAGAGCAACAACACGTGCTTTAACATATTATAGCATTCCATTTCTGGATTCAACACTTAAATACTTAATGGTCTATATAGCATGCCCCACTCCTGTTAGCATTCCACCACCTTGATATACTCACCCTATATAATATGGTAGATGCAATATTGGCATTGCCAGTCTATGTTTGTTACTAGTTTTTTTTTAATTAAATTTTTTATTCATATCCATGCAGTTTTGTAAAATACTACATTTTGATAATTCAGGTTTACTCACTAGGGAATAAAAGTTTTAGGTTAAAATTGCCTAGCTAGAAAGAAGAAGAAAATAATCTCAAACCTAGTTATGCCTTCAGCTCAGTTATTTTTACCTAAGGTTTAAAAACATTGCAGCCTAAAAGTGGAGTTTCATGAATGTTGAACAGCCCCAGTGATTCCCAACTCTAATTCCTACCTCCACCCCCCCTACCTTCCCGAATGAGAGAAACATTTCCAAAGCACAACTACTTTATGTGAAGCACTACTAGAGAAAGAAGCCCACATCTAGCCAAACTGGCCTATGCTTTTTATTACTTTAACAAAGGGAATTACAATTTTAATGCAGACACTTATTAAAAGGTTATTTAAAATATGTCATATAAACTATTACAGCAATTGAGCAATTAAGCAAAATGATCAAGGCATGCCAGTTTGCCAAGGCTGAGATCCAATGCCGTAGAAAGATCTATAAAGCAAAAGCGTTCTAGAAATGTCTTCGTAGCAGGCAAATCTAAACAATAGCCGTGAATAGCAGAGCACAAGATGCACTGCAATTAAATCAGCTACAAGTCAAGTACATCCTGAAACAATGGTTACCTTTAAGAAATGCTTTTAGAAAATATCTTTGCAATTAGCTGGCAATTAGTCTAGGGCTCACAGCAAACATTTCAATTGTGCAAAGATTTTTTTGTTTTTTTTAGGAAGATGACAGACCTTTATTCTATTAAATAAGGGCACTAGAATAATAAGCAAGATAAACAATGAGCAATTCACACAACTCCTTCAAAAAGAAAACACTAATTAATGCTGAACTCACTCAACGAGTTCGAGATCTAGTCCAACGTCAGGAGGGGTAATTCTAGAGCTATATTACCCTTGATAAAAACCAGAGTGAAATCTGTAAGTGGGGAATGTGACAAAAGGTTCCTGCTGCCACTTTAACTTAACATTATGTTATTGGTAGCAATCTATGGCCTTGATTTAATAAGCTTTACAAATTATGCAATACCGCTTGAAAAAAGTTCCAAACGATTTAGCTATCAAAGTCACCATTGAAGTCTTTGGGCATTTTTGTAGATACATTATTTGGAAAGTTCTCTATTGAATCATTTGGAAAGCTTATTAAATTTAGGCCTATGTACCAGGAACACTCCAAGACATTCCACTGTCTGGGTCCAAGTAAAAATGTGCTTTCCACACACCACCTTCTGAAATCATACATTATTACACAAAGAGAAATATGTCCTCTGCCCCTGCCCTCATATTTCACCACTCCTTCACGCCCCTGGGAATAGAACTGTAGTTACATGAAATAGCCCAATACAATTAACCTAGAAATTTTCTCTCACCTGATCGGACAGTGTTTGCGGAGATGAATAACCAATTCTACAGCCATAGGTCACACAGGAAATTTCTGCAGTCATTTCAAGAACATGTGCTAGAGGCAAGTAGCCAATATAAGTATCTTTGGGCCTGTAAAAAATTATTCAAATAAGATGACTTATTAAAAATGTAGAAGTATCAGTTCAACACACTATTAGCACCATTTTCTTCTCATAAGATTTTGTCTCCTTATTCCGTGCCTTTATCTTGATTTTTTTTTTTTTTTTTTATCTTTGACAAGAGACGGTACTTCTTCAGCAAGATGCTGCACTATAAGAGCAAAAGAAGCTTTGTCTTCAAGCTCACTGGTTTGCACACAACTGTTATAAAGTCACATGCAGTTCTTGAAGACCTTTAATGTGGCTAACATGGCACTGTGTAACAGCACCCATTCCAGGAATTAGTGGGACAGTCCCAATATTGGGGTCCTGTTCTGCCACCCTCAGTGAGCACATCATTACATATCCTGCATAAAATATATAAGGGCATACAAGAATGTCCTCTGTGCCTGGACTATCTTTACAGGGTCTTCCCTTCACAGCTGCCAGTCAGCCTCACGTATATGAACATAAGGTTGGCACTTCTGTTTGAAGTATCGGTTTCTTCAGCATCAAATGCTGACTGCCACGTCCACTACTGGTTGTAACTAAGTGTGTGGGAAGACTGAGCGGTGCGCATATCTAATTTGTGATTAGGGTGTTTAAAAAAAAAAAAAAAAACGCAACTCCAAATGTGGAGTAATGGAATTTAGTGGCATTGCAATTAAGAAAGCGCATTAATAGAGTACATTAGAGGCTCTAAATACGCTCATGAACAGAGCTCACAGAATAGTCATTGTGGCTCTTTAAAATATATTTTTTGATCAAGTCACAAAACTGCTGGGCTGGAGATATCCAACCTAGCTGGTTCATAAATAAATAAATAGTACCGGATTGTAGAAAAATTACCCTAAGCCTGGTATCCTTTCACACTGCCCGGCCATGCCAGCGATTAGGTTGCTGTGAACCATCATTACTCCTTTGGGCCTGCCAGTAGAGCCGCTGGTATACATCACAACTGCCAGATCAGTAGGTAGAGGTCGGCTTGGAGGGTTGCTCACTGAAGATCAAAACAAATAGAGTAAATATTTAGCCTTGATAATCACTACCAAATTCAAACCATTATAAATAAATGGAACCAAGACACATGTTTACCGATAATTTAATGCTCATCTTTGTGGTCAGGATCTACAAGAATCCATAAGTTTTGAGACATTGCGTCCCCTCCAGTGTAGAGCTGTAGAACAAATCACACCAAACCTTGTAGAACCACCTCACTCAACTCATGGGAATTTTACCAGTTAGCCATCTAGTCAAGCATAGAGAATGGAAACCAGCAGGAAATGTTGAACTTGTAGAAACCTGTTCAATATCTTGAGGAACTCTTTGGGAGTAGGTATTCTATGGCTGCATGGAGGCGGTCAGGAGTTCTTAAAAATGGCTGATCATGACGAAGGAGATGTGACCAAGTTAAATATAACGGATTATCATTGAAGCCAATGATGAAATCCCTGACCAGGAAGGACTGAGGCATTTTGGGCCCAATTATACCTCTCCATTTCAGGGAAGCAATACCCCACAATTAATGGATTCTCATAAACAGTGACCGTATTAAGACGAAAACCAACTTTCAGTGACTGATGATTTTCTATTTGCAAATCATGTTTTTTAAAAAAAACAAAAAAAAAAACCCCACAAAACATTGTTACAATAAGCAAAGTATAGACGGTATAAAATATAAATTTCTGACATTAACTATTTCAAAACTTTACAACATACAATTAAACAAAATAATACTATGGATCAAACCATCATATTTGTGGATTATACAAATTTGGAGGTGTGAAATTCAATTCACACCATACCAAATGTGAAGTATTTTGGACTTGAAATATATATTTTCCATACAGTAAAGAAATAGAGTTCTTTCCAAACACAGAGAAACCACCAAACACTTGATGGGGACAAAGACAGTGACAGAACAGTTTTTACATTTTTCAATGAATATGTACTGAGAGACTCTAGATCAGGTGAAGGAAGCCTTTGGCACTCCAGATGTAGGAAGCCTTTGGCACTCCAGATGTTGTGGAATACAACCCCCCTGGTGGTTTGCCAGCATTATGGCTGTAAAAAGATTGTTAACTCCACAACCAAAGGTTGCCTACACCTGCTCGAAATGTACAAACATGTGGTTCTGGTCAATACCAAAAATACCTGCTCATTCACTTGAATGTGCAAGGTGTTATGGGCAAAAAAAAAAAAAAAAGTTGCAATCACTATGCATGTGACACCATGTAATGAACTTATTGAAAAATTTTATTACTTTTGCACAAAGCTCTGTAAGATGCATTCTTGCCTTTTTAATTGGACTAGTTTTCTTTATGAAGTAATATCACTTACAGTTCTCTGGTTTTGCACCCAAATCTTCAATGGACTCCATTTCATGGATCTGTAGGCCTTCTGGATACTCTGCCTTATTAATATTTCTCTTGCCCACATAGATGATATGTTTAATGAAACTAATTTCTGATAGAACATTCTGTGAATTTAGAAGTGAAACATAATATGGTTATTCTTGTCAGGGAGATAATATGATAGATAACAGCAGCTAAAGTCTGTCCTAAATACACACCTTCAACTTGGTTTCCAGGAGTTCAGAGCTAGTAATGAGATGGGTGGCTCCAGATTCATTCAGACCATAAGTTACTGCCTCCTCACCCAGAGTAGCATACAATGTGACCACTGTAAAAACAATTGTATAAAATAATTTTAAACTTGGTATGTTTTGGCTTGAAAGAATATGTAATTGTACCAATTATTTTGTATCTCCACTTTTAGGCGAGAGGATTATGAACAGATTCCAAATTATCCTTCAAGCATCCATGTCTCTCGCCACCCCTCATTTTTTCATTTTCCTTTCATTAATACTCTTGGATTTTAATGATTATACCACCTCCCATGCCACTTGCCTTTATTTATAAATTATCTTCCTTGTGCCAGATATAAATTCCTGGGTGCAGACATTTTGTTTTCCTCTGCCATTCATGTCTGCTGTTTACACTTTTGTGGGATTGCTATTACTGATGGATTATGGGTAAATGGGACTGATAATGGAATACAAGTCTTGTCTTATGCTCTGTCCAGTAAACAAGTTTTGTCAACTTCACTGCTATACATACATAAAATTAGGAACTTTTGCATATATTTTAGAAAAATTAGAGCATTCAGAAAAGAAAAAAAATAAAATAAAGATTTAATGATAAATTCTAGATGGAAGCAGATAAAAATAGAAATCTCAATCAGTGTAAGTTTGCTGAAATTAAGTATGATATATTTAGATATGTTACGTAATATCTACACATGTTTCCATGACAGTAGTTTGCATGCAAAATGAGAGAAAAGGGAAATGAGAATGCATCTTAGATTGCTTATGAGAATGAGGAACTATGACGGAGAGGAAAAAAAACAAACAAAAAAAACAGAACTTGTGGAAATGAGAAAATAAGCCTGTATATGAGACAGACAGTCCTGTGGCTGGTGCAGGCTGCAAGACCTGCAAGTTTTGTCTCATTGTCATTACCATGCACGAAGGGACAGATGTTCAAACAAACAAACAAAAAAAACAAAAAACAAAAAAATCATCTAGTCAAGTCTTTCTTTCAGCATCCTGTATTAAAAGCTTAATGTATGCATAAATAGAATTGTCCAAGATTTGGGAGAGTACCAAAAAACACCCAAAACATTTTAACTCAATGTGAAAACATTGATATCCACTGATCGCCACTAGAGGTGCTTTCAATGAAAGAGTAAACCTCTGCCATTTCAAATTAGATGGTCTCAAAGACACAGAGGGGCATTTTGCCATGTATGCGCACTAGCCTCACAATACTTTCCAACAGGATGCAGTGCTTCCCCAAAGAGACTGACATGGGGAGTGAAATTCACCCTTCCAACTAGCACACGGCAGGGGGAAATAACATTAATTCATTAAAACACTACAGGATCCTTTAAGCTTCAGATTGGCAGTCGCACAAGCAGAAATGCTACAAAATATTTCCTGAATTACAATGAATCTGCTCGGATATGAACCATACGGCTCTAGTAAGGCTACAAGCAAACATGAAATGTATAAGCTGCTGAGTGAAGGTGGAGAAGAGAATACGTGTATATTTGACATAATATGAATTATGTTGCTCTTCAGAGGCAAGTGACATTATGGTCTCACATGCTCTGTGCTTCTTTAATATGTCTGCACGAGAAAGCAGCAAATTGAGAGACCTGTGTGACGACGCAGAGATTCAAAGAATGAAATTCTGGCAAGCCAACCAAATCTCCAAAGAAAAATTAATAAGATACAAAACATAATGAAATAAAAAAGCAGGGAGCCTGGAGTAATGTCTCACATTATTTTGTTTAGGATGTTTATATATGACAGGGCTTTCATTATTCAATAAATTCTATGACCGCCATGTTTAAATATTACTGTTAATGCAATGGCATGCATAAGGCAACTTGTACCAACATAAATGGCATAACCATCTAACTACTTTAGGTCTTGGCAAAACTTCACCTAAAATTTATTTTTGGAGCAGAAATTTTATCAGTGATATATTAATGATTCTCTCAGGTACATATACAGACAATCAGCTACATAGTTAGTACATCTTTAAAATGTTTGAAAGAAATAAAACTTACAAGGAAAATTGTATTTAAAGCATGCTTGTGCTGTGATCATCCACTCTGCTCTGGTTTCGCAAAAAATGGCAACAGTGCTTTTTGGTTTCAGCCCAAGCGCAGCCAGACCACTTCCAAAATTGTTCACCTTCACATTAACGTCTTCATAGGATAACCACTTATAATCTCCCTGAATTAACTGGAGGAAAAAAAAAAAAAATACAATAACATTTCTAAAAATAGGTATTGTCATTTCAGGATAATAAAATAGTAAACTTCCATTGGTCGCCATAGTTTGTGCGATAAAAAACAAACTATTACCACGATAGTCCTGTTAAACTCTGTCCATTAAGCCATCATATGGTAAACTTAAAGACAAGCCAAAACACTGTACTTGGAGCTGACCTGTGTAATATTTATGAAGAACTACCTATATTATGCGCTGGAATTTTCACTGCAATCACACATTTCAAAAGATATACAAAATGTCAAATGTGATATAAAGCAGAACTGGCACAGCAATGCAATTCCAACTGACGGCTGATCGGAAAATGCATCTTCTAGCGTGATGTGCAACGAAAGCTTAAGTCATCTTTCTGTATGAGCATGAGAAGAAGTGTGGAAGATCTCCAAAGATCTAAAAATTATTATTTTATACTTTCATGCATTTAGTTCCTAGCAAACCAGGAAAAAGAAGAAGTAGTTACGGCAATAAAGAGGGTTCAAGCACATCTTCCCACATTTTATCAAGTGTAAATTTTTCACCTCCATTTGTCAGGTTTGCTTTAATATAAACTGCATTGCAGAATTTGCTGGTAACCTAGTATTAAATAAAATGTGAAAATGCAAGATCTGTGAGCAATGTTAAGTAATATGTAAATACAACCTTGAAAATATGCTGTCTAGCATTGGAGATATTCTCAACCTTATCTAATTAACCCAACCTCTTAACTTCATGATTGCCGTATAGCAACAAGTAATATTAAAAGGGAGCTACGGTTAGTGACATTCTGAGTTTCTGAGCTTGATTCAAGGGTCAAAGCAAAACTATGATACATGATGATTCCACACAACAGTAAAGAGAAAAATAAATTAATACCTTTTTAAACACTTTTCCATTAGGTTGCATTTCATTCTCTTCACTTAGCAGCTCCCTTGTGCCCAGACAGTCTCGCTTTCCAAAATTTGCCACAGCATGTTGAAACAGTTTGTCCAGCGTGTCGGCTCCTGGAATGTCTATGGTGGCCAGTGAATCCAGGTGGCTAATGGCCCTGTACGGACTTCCAGGTTTGTCCGACATAGGTTTAGCTTTTATTCTTTTTGCCATTGATTTTTTCTTCTTTGCGTTGGTAAGAAAATACCATGGTATAAATGTAAGAGTACTGTACACAAACATTAACAGGTAGACAGGCAGCAAGACAACGGTGGACACTTCGGTATTAAGCTTCATGGTGTTTAATTAGGACAAGAAATAAAAATAAATAAAAACACAGGATCTGTGCTTGCCTTCACTGAATATTCTTTGTGTTCATAAGGCAACAGGGTAAAAAGCAGCTGCAGCAGAAGGTTAACCAAGGCAGTGAGAAAAGTACGAGCTTGCGTTACTGTTCAGTACGAACATTAAAACTATCGTTTGTTAACCTTTGGAAGCCAAGATGCGCGAGTATCTGTGCAGACAGCCAGCCAGAGAGCAGAAAAGAAGAAGGGAGAAGTTAGTGCAACATTAGATTACCAGTGATAATAAGGTGCCCATTAAAAACTAGTTACGAAAAAAAAAAAAGCCACAAGGGATGCTAACATAACCAGGCTGTGTGTTTAAAAAACAGGCAGCAAAGTAGTCTTTCCTTTGCTTTAAAACCTTCCAAATATTTACACATCTTGGTGCTTTCTCAATTCAGTTTGTTGTTGTGTGGGCTCCTGCAAATAGTGGAGGAGGAAAAACTAAATGTAATCAGACATGTTCAAAAGGGATAAATACTGGCAAAAGGTTAATTTCCTGCAAACCAAATATTTATAAACAGTTTTTTTTTTGTTTTTTTAAATTGAATGTTGTAGCAGTCACAGTAAAGCCTCAACAACCCAAAGGTTAATGTCAAATTTAAATCACAAATTACCTATGGAGTGTACACTCTAGGAGAAACTTAAGGAGTTAACAGGGAACTCTACAACTCATTCTCCCCTAAGGTGCACTCAGACAGCCTCTAGTGGTGCTTTCCTGGTTTAGGTCCTGCGTGGTTGCTCTGCATGGAGAGGTTCAATGCTACCCATAGATATGCATTTATTGAATGCATCTCTATCAGATGATACGGATCGGAGCAGAAAAGTTTTGCCACGCATGCACACTAGCCTCCCAATACTTTCCTATGGGAAAGCATTGGTGTGGCTGAGATCATCAAAATTGTTGATCTCTGCCAAGGAGGAAGGGTGGCCAAGACAGTGGTGTGAAAAATCTATATAGTTATAAGGACTCTATAGCGTTACAAATAAAAACAGGTTTATAATTTCTTGTTGGTATTATGACCTTAAGAGAACAATATAGCATTAGGAATACAAAGTATTCATGTTTTGCAATAAAATGTATCAACTGTTTGAATAAAAGACCAAGGACTAAAGAGAACATTTATTAATAGAGACTCCCACATCTATGTCCTCTGAGCCTCTGGATGTAAAATTTATTACAAACGCATCATAAGCATTTTCTACTAGGGACATCAAACTGCAAGGCATACAGACTACAGCTGCGTTTTCCTTAAAGTGACACTGTAGGCACTATAACCTTGTCATCTTACTGAATTCGTTATAGTGCATGGATTCCCCTAGCACTGTCCCTCCACTGCGTGTTAAACCATATTCGAGCAATTTAACACTAAATCAGGGTCCCTGGCCACCCACACCCCCGCCACCACTGGAGGTATGGCTAAAGCTGAGATTACACACTTCCTTGTGGCCATACTATATCACCTGACACTCTTAGCCAATCACACTGCCCATTGCTGCTCAGGTGGATTCTTCATTTGCCCAAGCAGCACAAAGGGGATGGGAAATGGTTTAACAATTAATGGAAGGATAGCACAGGGGATTCGAGACCCTATAATCACTTTAGTGAGAAAGCATTTATAGTGCCTACTTCTATCAAAGCAGAATCGCCAATACATTATTCCTGTTAAGTACTCCTAGTAACAATGTTTGTCAAACTAGTACTAGTTATCTCCCATGAAATATCAAGCATTTGTCAATATAATCTGGTGAGTAAGAACACAAAATTGTGGAAGGGTTAAAACAGACTCTTGGAATTTTCTTCTTCTTCTACTTTTCACTAGTAGAATAATCTATTCTGTCTCTAGAAAACCCCAATGAAAATGAATTTAAAAAAAACAAAAAAAAAAAAAACACACAACACAAACTTAAAATTTTAACAATTTAATAGAATCAAGTCATGTTTTTTTCTGCTAGGAAATCTAGGCATTATGCATAGATTCCAATGTAGAGGTTTCTTGGGTCAATCAATATTAAATAATCAAACTATATATTCTATAGATTATATATACTCTAAACAGTAAATTGTAAGACAGAGTTTGAAAAAAAAAAAAAAAAACCACAATCTACTAATTGAAAGTTATTTTGACCTTTGGTTAGCATGTCAGTTGCCAACACAGCATAACTCACTGAATCCCAGAGACATGTTTTGTTTGAACATCCCCAGGGCCTTGCTGTAAACAGATTACTAGAAGAAAAATGTATAAGTAGTAACCTGTTCTGGCAGAATTATGAATTCATGCAAAGCCTCACTGAGGGACAGGTATGTGCCTTATATGGCCAGGTTACATAATAGATGTTCAAAGGAATGCTTAGATAATGGCCAGTTGGGTAGAATCTATAACAGAGTGAGTTAGCCCAAGGTGAAAAAAATATATAAGTGCCAGATGTATCCTTTTGAACTTTTAATTGTTCCAACATACCCGCATGTAGAGACTAGTATTTGGTAATAAACAACATTCTCCTAAATTTTCATGAAAAAAAAACAAAACACATGTGATATAAAAAGCTACCTGATCTCATCCCAAGCTCATTTAACATTTCTGTTCACTTAAAGTTATTTGGAGAGCAATTCACAAATGTTGGCATTTGTTTATCATAAACTCCCATTAATTGGACTAGGTTAACCAAGACTGATAAATCAATGAGGATAGAACAGAGATATTAATTGGCGCTGCAAGGAGCACTCTCTGCAAATCATAAATTATATGGAATATGTCATGCATGCATGTTGATACGTTCTAAATCGATAATGCACTTATTACAGAATATCAATTCATGCAACATATGTTCAGGGAAAATAAATACACGTGTACATGCAGCATGCAAACACCAGGAATGGTTGGAATATGGCATGTCAAAATTACATTGCACTATGTTCAGCTGTGTTTAAATAGATTAACCCTGCATAATGTATTATTGGTAGACTGATAACAAGTTATTAACCAACGTAAATTAGTGGAGTTCCAGTAGCAGACAACACAGTTTATCTGGTACAAGAAAACCTTGTTAAAGTATAGAAAACATTATGAAATTAAAGTAATTGAAATTACACAGTGGTGTTCTGCATCTAAGATCAAAGAACATCAAGACTGCATTGGTTGTAAATGATTAAACTGAATGCAGAGGGAAGGCAGAATTTAGAGAAGTTAAAAGGAGTACCACCAGAAGGGTGCTCTGCGTGGCTCATGCCAATAACACAAAATAGGGTAACTAGGTTGGAAGAAAAATAACCTAAATGACATGTTGACAGGGTATTATTATAATTACATTTCCATCAAGAACAAGGTGTCATATGAAACAAAGCACTACTAAAAAGCCAATTAAATATGCATGTAAAAATAAAAGTAAATTGGTGAAACATTTAAAGCCTGGTTATGTCAGCCTCCCTTAATTGACATTGGTATGAAAAAAGGGCACACAATAAACCAAGTGCTGGATAAAGAAAGCAAAGTTACTGTGAATTTCAACACTGAAACATTACAAACAAACAAAGTGACACCATCAATGCACATATAATACGCCCATGGAGCAGGTATTAACAAGCAGCATGTGATTAAGTCATACAAGTGGAATGACAGTAATCAGCCGGTGCGAGTAACGTGGGTAGTAGATATAGGTGCATACAAAATTAAGAATTACAAAAATTTAAATAAATCTATACCACTTTCATATTAGTTAAGGAACAGTATAGGTTAAAATAGTATTAAAAGCACATTGGCTTATAGTATTAAATTTATAAAGCAATTGCAAATTTCAGACCGGAATTGCCAAGATGAAAAATATTTATGTAGGCAAATTGTTTCCATTTCAGTTATTTTTGCAATTCACAGGGCAGTTCATGAAGATTCACTGTTAAGGGAGTTGGAAATAATAATCAGGTTTGTATTTGCATCAGAGCCTTTGGTGAATGCAGATAGATTTGCAGACAGTAAGGCCTTCTCGAGGCCACACATGTATGCATTTCTGAGATAATATCTGAAAGAAAGGTATGGTGTACTCCCCTCACTGACCTGCTAGCATACCACAAGGGAGCGGGCGTGAGGCCGGATGAAGGATTATGTGGATGGGGCTGGCAACAGACAGAAATGGGAAGGTAAAGATGCAATCTTTACAGGACACAAAAATCTCTGTGAAAATGCCCTGTAGGCTAATTATTCCAGTTTTGTTGTCAAATAGTATGTATGAAAAAAATATACAAGATTAAAAAAAAATTGAACTATGAATCCCGGGGGCTATAATTTATACAAACATCTTCAGGCTTCACAAACAAAATTTCAGGTACAGTGAGATCATCATTACCAAAGAGGAACTGTACTAACAAACTTGTTGTTTAGGGTTGCAATGTAATGTGACCTGGGCAAAAATATTAATATTGTGTACTCTGGCACAGAGTGGTCAATGAAAAAGAAATTCCTTTTCTGAAGGGAATGTATAGTGACAAAGCTACATGTATATATATTTCTAGTGTAATATGAAGAGACACACGGGATTAATTACTAAAGTACCAATTCAATGTGAATTTCATGCTTACGGTCAAAATAGCTGAACTTTAAAAGTTCTAAGTTTGCTTTACCTTTAGTTCCAACTATTCTGGTCTTAAATGTGAAACTCACTTTAGGTGGATAACCCTGTCAGAATCAGTTTCTACATGATCACCTGTACGTCATGTGGAAATGGAAGACTGTCATTAGTTTAGTTTCTATGTATTGAGCACACAAATACGAAGCCTGTTCTCTCATATTCATAAACCTATTCTGTTCCTTAAAGTATACCATACGAATGCAGTACAGGATTAGTTAAGTGAATTAGAAAAAGGTCCCAGTGAGGAAAAGCATTGACAGGAAGCATGCGGTAGAAAAGATTACATGCACTGTAGGGGTTATAGTGCCAGGAGTGCCCTTGCAACCCCGTTGTAGCAGTTAAACCAATTTTGAACATTTTGCCTCAGTTTCTAGGGTTTACTGGGCGCTGATCCCCACCTCTACTACCTCAATACAGGGCTTTGTTCTTTGGCAAAAAATGATCAGCCCATGCCACCAGCCAAAGGATGCAAGTCCTGCATTGCAGAGCTTTGGTCAGAACTACTAACAGAAGTTCCTACTTAGGAACTTATGGGTCTCTGATAATGGTAGTAAAGATTATCACCATGCAGACCAAAAGTCAAACTATTCCAAAACAGATTGGCTTCTTACAATGGTGAGGGACGCCAGGGCACTACATTGTGCAGTAGTGGATATGGTGCTTTGAGTGTTCCTTTAACTATTACAGAATATTTCTATTTATATGCTGAACAGGAACTAATCCCACTGTCACAACTTTTTTTTTTTTTCAGAAGTGAAATTAATGTACATATCAGCAAAAGTCATACATAAAGTCCCTGAACATTTTTATTAAAAATTTAAATGCTATTATACATTGCCAACAGACTGAATACCCCTCACTGATCCCATGACTGAGTTCAATGTTCTCTGTGCAGGGATCATCAACATGTTTTTTTGTTTGTTTTTAACAAACATCTTACTTAGGGGAGGGAGTGAAAGAAAAAAAAATAAATAAAAGTAAATAAATGCAAAGTCTCATCTCCAATCCGAGCACGTTGAACGGCAACCTACAGGCACAGCTTTAACATACTGCTTGCACATAGAGTATTTAGGGTAAAAAGAACATTACAAATTCCCCTGAGCCCATCATTATGCAAAATAAATCAGTCTGTGCCAGAAATTATTTATTCTAGTGCTGTAAGTAAATATATTTACATTAGTTTAAGCTGTGTTGTGTTGGCTGATATACTCATGTGTGTACATTGTGTTTACACTACCTGCAAGCATCTTACTTTAAAAATCAGATGGGGGTTAGAAAGCAAAAAAAAAAAAAAAAAATAGCTTTGGGAGAAAAACAACATTTGCATGCACGCACTACAAAATAAAATAAACTACTCCTTGCACATAGGGCTCTCTGGCGTTATACTCCAAACGGGATATTGCATAAAAACTGTACAATGCCAGCGAGGTACAGCTCCTCTTTTTGCCAAGACTCCCTATTAAACGCATTCAGTGTTCCTACAAGGCAGGAGATGGGACTTTATAATTTGTCGGGGTTATGCAACACACAGAACACAGAGGATTAATTTATAACTTATTTATACTTACTGAACTTTTGTAGCACGGGAAACTGGTCTCTAATACTTAACGGAAGCTGTTAATAGAATAGGAGGAAACCGTTAATATTATAGATACACAAAACTATATATAAAAGGTTTATATGGGTACAAATTAGATTTCAGTCTCATATTTTCTCGCTCACATTTTTAAAGACTATTGTTGGGTCTTTCTGCAGGAGGAAATCTGGTAGCACAGCTATTTGTTGACTGACCAAATAGTAATATTTACACAATTTAGGTCAAGCTCACTTATCATTAGAAATATTTCCTATCAGAAGACAAACAGTCATATCTGGCCACCTCACCATGACCTGTATTACACTAACTGCAAAACTCACAGAAATACTTTGTCCCTAGAATAATAAAGCAGGGGCACGGTGAACCCTGGTATGATCATTTTTGGCCCAATTAAATATGGCTTTGCAATAGCAGACTATGACACGTCACTGCCAGACAACAAAGAAACAAAAAATGTCTAAACCCTGTCGAGCAGAAAAGATAGCAGAAGTCCTCCACGAATACATAGTCTACACAGGTTAAAGGAGCAATTAACACCTTTAGTTAATTCCAGATTAACGAGTTTGCAACCATTATACATTATATATTAAACTGTTATCATCAGGCCAGAGCTCATCCATCCTTTATTAGGTGTTATGGGGAGAACTCATTAACACAGAACTATATCCTTCAACGTTCCCCACCTTTAAAAAACACAATTATGGGCTCTAAATTTGCAAGATTTCTCCATTTTATTTTTAAATTTAGCTCTTCACCTCTCCCCCCCCCCCCACACCTATTTAATTATGTCACTTTTGTATACTTTGGGCTTACACAGTTAGACAAAGTAGGGCCTATTTTGTCTTATAATAACTGCATTTGGAAAGGTCATTGAAATTCCAAATCAATCAAAATTAGGAATTCATATAGATGACATCTTTATTAAATACTCAAAAGTGATTTAACAAGGTATGTAGTTAAGTAATGAGAAAGCATATAATTCTTGAAAAGGAAAGGAACGAATATTAACCAGAAACATAAGATATAGCACAGATACTTCCAGTATTTTGTAAATGTTATTTAGGGACTGCATGCATATTATATCAGATGTTTTGATATAGAGGGTGATGCATTGCTTCCTCTATGACTGCAAACAGTGAGGAGTTGGCTTATAATTTCTTAAAGGCATACTGTAGTGACATAGTAGCATACTGACAGCCACTGAGGGCAGACTTAGTGCTGCAATGTAAACAGTGCAAAAGGGACACAGCACCCAGACCACCTCAATGAGCTGAAGTGGTCTGGGTGCCTACTGTGTCCATTTAAATATTCGGTCTGTCCACAAAATGATTCAAAACTAGAATGTCAAGTGATTCAACATTTCTGGTTGAGAAATGTTCTGATAGCACTTTTTTTTTTTTTAAGTGACACCCATTTCCACATACAAACATTTTTGAAGGTTACTTGCGAAAGATTTGATGACTGTAAAGACACGTAACAGATAAGGACCAAGGATCCCATCAAGGCAGACCAAGGATCCCTTCAAGGCAAAACAAGGCATATGTACAATTGCTCTACAGTACGGAAAAATAAAACCAATGGCTTCACAATTCTGTAGAGACACTGATTTATAGGTAAAGATTAAAGCAATGTATGTTCTTAAAGGGACACGCCATACCCCTAAAGCACTTTAGTTTGCTACGTGTGATGTGTCCTTTTGACATTTTGCAGAAAGTGCCGATTTAAATAGAAATAAATTAACCTGGTTACACTATCCTGACTTTCATGCAGGCAACAGGTCCTGTTACTTCCTGGTTTGGTTAGCTCACTGGGGCTAAACTCAATTGCCTAGAGCACCTGCCTTGCAAAGACTTCTCATTGATCTGCATTGTGAAGTCTGTGATTGGACAGCCATAGATAGTTTGGGCAGGGTTAGAAGGGGAGGGCTTGTAAGGGCTGCAGACAAGAGCTGTAGGTTTTAAAAGCTGGTTTTAGACAGAACTGCTATGTACAAGTGTATATTAGAAGCATGCATGATTTCATTGAGGGTATATCTACTACACTATATCTCTCAAGTTTTGTTTTTTGAGCAGTGGAGTTTCCCTTCAATACTATAATATCATTATACAATTTAAGGACCAGCATTAATATTTAACTCTTAATTTATTTAAACAAATCAATACATCCACTTCAACTTTCAAGCACTCTTGCCACTTTACTAGTTATATTTAGTTTTTAAATAGGTAAATATCTTGAAGGGAAACTGTAGTCACTAGAACAACTATAGCCCGTCACTGCAGGCATTTTAATGTAAACACACTGCCTTTTCAGAGAAAGTTCAGTGTTTACATTACTGCCTAGGAACACCTCTAGTGGCAGTCACACAGACAGACACTAGAGGCCCTGGGTAAGAGCTGAGTAGTGTGTAGCACTGATATTCAGCATCTCCACTAGGGATCGACCGATTATCGGTTTTACCGATATAATCGGCCGATATTCGGTATTTTCAGCAATATCGGTATCGGCCAATTCAGATACCGATATTGCCGATAATACCTCCTAGGACCGCCAGGCTCATTACAAGCCCGGCGGTCCTGAGGGGGCGGAGAGCAAGCGCTTACTCACCTCCCAGCAGCTCCTCCAGCTCCCCAGTGCAACTCTCGCGAGACCCGCGGCCGTCAGAGCGTTGCCATGGTGCTCCGCGCGACACGCTGGCCACGAAGTTGCACTGGGGAGCTGGAGGAGCTGCTGGGAGGTGAGTAAGCGCTTGATGTCCGCTCCCCCCAGAGCTCAGCCAATACCACTGGACCACCAGGGACTGTCATATCCCCCCTCCCTGGCCAGGCAACAAGCAGGGAGGAGAGACAACAAAAATAAATAATAATTAAATATAAAAAAAAAAATAATTTAATAAAAAATTCCCCCTCACACACTCCATTATATACACACACACTACACAAACACAGTGTGTATATAATGCAGTGTGTGTTTGTATACAATGCACACAAATACACTGCACTATATACACACACTATACAAACACACACACAAACTGCATTATATATACACACACACACACACACAAACTGCATTATATACACACACACTATACAAACACTGTATATAATGCAGTTTGTGTAGTGTGTGTATATAATGCAGTGTATTTGTGCAGTGTGTATATAATGCAGTGTGTGTTTGTGCAGTGTGTATATAATGCAGTGTGTGTTTGTGTAGTGTTTATATAATGCAGTGTTTGTGTGTGTAGTGTGTGTATATAATGCAGTGTATTTGCGTAGTGTGTTTATATAATGTACACTACACAAACACACTGCATTATTTACACACACTATACAAACACACACACACTGCATTATATAAACACACTACATTCACTACCCACACACTACACAAATACACACACACTCTGCATTCATTATATACACACACTTTGCATTTAGTATATACAGCATTCACTTTACGCACACTACCCACACACTACACAAACACTCTGCTTTCATTATATACACACTACACTAATACACACTGCATCCACTACACACACTAAACAAATACACACTGCATCCACTACACAAACACACATTGCATCCTCCACACACACTACACAAACACACACTGCAACCACAACCCACACACTACACAAACACACACTGCATCCACTACACACACACTACACAAAGACACACACTGTATCCACTACACACACACTACACAAACACACACAGCTCCCCTGTCACACTGCATCCACTACACGTGGCATGTATATTTTGTGCATTTACCTTTAGAAATAGTTTTTATTTTCCAAAATGGTAAATGTACAGAATATCGGCAAATTATATCGGCTATCGGCCTGAAAGTTCACAGAATATCGGTATCGGCTCTAAAAAATCAATATCGGTCGATCCCTAATCTCCACGCTTTGCATGTTGACACTGAACGCTCCTCATAGAGACGCAGTGATACAATGCATCTCTATGAGGAGATATAGAGGGACAAAGATTTAAAAATAATACCAGGAAGTATTACTTAACAGAGAGGGTAGTGGACACATGGAATAGCCTTCCAGCTGAAGTAGTATAGGTTAACACAGTGAGGGGAGTTTAAGCATGTGTGGGATAGGCATAAGGATATCCTAACTATAAGGCAACGAACTAATAAAAGTATTTAGAAAATTGGGCAGACTAGATGGGCCGAATGGTTCTTATTTGCTGTCACATTCTATGTTTCTATTTGCACAGCGTGGTGCTTTGCCGCACATGCACAATAGCCTCCCAATGCTTTCCTAGGGGACCTGTGCGGCACTGGAATAAAGCCTAACTACATTTTAAACACTATAGTGACAGGAACACACTATAGTGTTCCTTTAACCAAAGGGGGGATGCTTATTTTCAGCCTTTAGGGAGAAATTGTAATATTTTTAATATGAATGCTCATTGACTAATCCCCATAAAGCCTACTGAGGCATTTAACACAATTACCTCAGCAACGCTTCCACGTTCAGGTGCCAACATTGCACTGGTAATAATCCAGGAGGGTTCATGCCTACTCTTATACAAGTGTGTGTGTGTGTTCCATCCATAGTGCCACACACGTGCTTTCAGATCTCTCTTGTACATGGCACCATGGGGGGAGGAGAGGGAGGAATTAAGGTAATTTTCAGTCGATGCCCTGAGGGATTGTGAGTCTAATTAACAGGAAGGAGAGAGAGAAAAAAAAAAAAAAAAGAAAGAAAAAAAAAAAAATTGTAGTTGGTGTCCCCCATAACTTTGTCCATTGGTCAGATTTATGCAAGTGATTTTTAAATACAGTAAATGTTCACTTGTTATAACACCAAGCTATTTACATAAACAGCAGTTGAGCAAAAAAAAAAACAAAAAAACAAAACAAAAAAAAAACCACAAAAACAGATTAGGATGGCGACTGCACATTTATAACAAGTGAGAAACCAGTAATTCTTTGAGTGAAAATGCTTGAGAATGTTGTATGGGAGATTATTAGAGAATATGAACCTCACTGATCTCTACACACATATTCTAAACACATTTATAACACATCTAAGACTTGTTCCCTCTTAAACCACTAATCAGATATCATGCCACAATAAAAATCCTTTTAGGTGATCGTTCCTTTAGATTGGTTTGTGAACAGATGTGATTGGGTTTATCCATAGCAAATCTCAGATAAGCATTCTGTTATAGTGGTAATCATTTTAGTACATGCTAGCAGTTTAGTTGTCTTCATGTCATATGACAGTGCACACATGGGATGTAGCCAATAACTGCACTACCACCTGTTTTTGATTCATGCTGGCCAACAGACTATACACTCAATACAGTCAGTCAATGTCAGATCAAGAGCAGTCAGGACATTAGTCAAGCTTTTGAAAATGGTAGAAAAAGACGAGCTGAGGTTCAGAGAAAATAAACTTGCTAGGTTATTACTATAGGCAATGAGCTACACAAGTTAGGCAGATGATATTTGAAGGAAAACAGCTGTCCTATTTAAAAAAATAAAAAAAGTCACATGACTGGGCTCTGGTTGTAGCAATCAGAAAGCAGCATGCCTCTGATCATATAGGGTTGGACTAACAAAGTCTTCCATCTGTTGGGGAGAATCTGATCCCTTACTCAGCCAATGCCAAAATACTTTTCAGCATTTTTAAATAGTGATTTAGTAACACATAATCTTCAGTTACAGCACAGACTGTTTTTTGTAGTGACTGTATTAAATAAATGTTGAAACTTATTACTGCCGAGCTTGTACTTTACGTACAAGTTCTTATGCAAAAGATTTATTCCGTTTTAAAACAAACACCCAGGAAAACAGACTGTTAAGCACTGACCCCCAGCAACAGTACATTATACATTGTCATTCACACAAAGCCCAGAATTGCAACACAACAGGAATCTTAAGAAATCAATTCAAGATTATGGGGCAATAAGGAAACCAGTCTCTTCATTCTTTGACACATATATACATACATATACACACACACACACACACACATACACACACACACACACACACACACACACATTTTTATTTTTTTAAATAAAGAACATTAAAGCAGCACAAAAACTTTGCAACATAGCAAAGGATAAGATGCCAAATCCTTATTCCCTACCCTCAGGAAAGAGGCAGCTACAACGATGTTATAATGACTTCTAAATTCATCCACGTTTTCCCAACTCCTGCATTTCAATGTGCACACACACTTCCCAAACAACATGAACGGACAGCTCATGATCTGGAGAAAGCCCAAACTAAATTTTTTTTTATAAAAATCTGGTCAAATTGGAAACAGATTGCAAATAAGCAAAAACACTGGCACAGTATGTCTGCTATCAGCTAATTCACTAATCATGTGTAAAAATAATTTTTGTTTTCAATATATAGACAATGCATTAAGAAAATGGGAGGGCACTTAATGATCATTGTATACTTTCAGTGTATGGGGTAGTGGGACAAGGTGGGGGGAAAGAGTTTGGGGGGGGGGGGAACAAACAAACTTGGTTCCACGGAATTAAGAGTGCCTGGGAGAGCTGTGGGGCATGGCCATTAAAACACAGTACACTAAACAATGGTACAGCTCACATTACAAAAAGATCAGGTTCAGGTATTTGGTGACAACTAACAGAGAATTTGTAAGACGGTTGTATAAACCACCAACAAATCCACATTCAGTGCATTCCTAAAGAAATGTTTCCTGGATATGATAAAGTATACAAAAAACAGAAAACATCTTGCCACTCATTAAGAAGGATTAACATTCCCATCATCAAAAAGTTAAAGCTGAAACCCACAGCTGTGTGGGGCTCGCAGGAAGCAGCACAATGTAAATAAATTGTACTCACCCTTGATGAAGCAAGTTTGAGCTGTCTGCCAGTAATTGCACTCTGAGTAAAGTAGACTTGCTTATAAGGGAAGTGGATCCGCCTACCTCTAAACAGAGCTTGAGAAATCTCTTAAAGCAATATCACTCTAAATGGGTGAAAGGCCGAGGGAAATGAATCATCTTTACAGCAAGTAAACTTTCATGGGGAATGTGCAAGTTTTTCCTTATTCTGCTACGTCAGAATATTGCAGGGGCGTACTACTAGAGATTGTGGAACTGGTCCTAAAACCAGAGCTTCGGGATGTGCGTCGTCATTTCAGTAAATACATGGAATAAAACGTTACTCTGTAATGATTTTATGTTCTGGTTCTATTGTACACACATTCACACATACAGAGAATATAAAGAACACCAAATGTTTATTCTACAGGCAATGCTGGCCAAAAAAAAAAAATAAAAAAAATTAAGAAAGCTTCAGTTGACCACATAAGAACAAGCAAATTTAAAGGAAATATTATTAAAACTGATTCTAATTGTTAAGATTTAATAGTATAATGATGAATGGGTTACTCCAATACTACAGTGGACTGTAGAGGTTATGATACCAGAACTACTCTGGCCCCATTCAAACCAATTTGTAATGGTTTGCCCTGTTATACAAGAGGCTCCGGCCTTCTGTGCTGCAGAAACCAGATGCCAATCATTAATTGGCTGAGAATGTTGCTTTAAAACCGCAAACTTTACAAATTGGCACAATTTAAAAAAACAAAAACACCTTTATGCCGAAGACTGGGACAAGAGACCTCCAGGCACCATTACTTATACAAGTAACATTTTTGCTATTGAGCTTAGCATGTCCTTTTAATCAAGTATTGTTCTCGCTTTAACTATCACACTATCTCAGAGAGCCTTCTCTTGTCATTTTAAGTTTTAGTCATCCATTAAGTAATACCAGCAAATAGGTTGCACAACCCTTTAATATTTGTAAGCCAGAGGGCAATATTAATTCATTTCAGGTAACAGGACATGGCAAAGTGACGGACATTTCAAAACCAGAACAAAAGGTTATTAGAGTTCCAAAAATAAGAGGGAAGTTTTGCAAACAATGTGCAGTCTGAGACTTTTCACCCACAAGAAGTGTTGGTTACAGAAGAGACCTCAATGTATGAGTGGGGCAATTCTTTCCAGCCACTGTAAAATCGGATGGAAAGACGTAACGGTCAGTAGAACAAACATGCAATAAGAAGGTATGACCATCTTACCAAAACACAAGGATAGGACAATCGAGTGCAATCACAAAAGGACAAATTGGATCATAGAAAATAAATGTCTGTCTAATATGCAGAGATTTCATTTAGACTAGTGTACTATAGATGAGCAACAAAACAATGATCTTTGTTTATTAAAAGTAATCTATGTACAAGATAACATTTTCATACTTACTGGCATTCCATGAATAATAATTCCCATTTCCCTCCCACTGTTTGCTCCCCCATCCACTGCCCCCTCTGTGAGAAGCCTGTGATTATATTACGCAAGGCCCCTGTGATGTCAGAGAGTGCACAGAAGTCATAAGACATTTTATTTGCAGGTTGTTGAGAGAGAAAAGGGTGAGTTCTCCATAGAGCCTGATACAGCATTTTACACAGGAGATCTCCTCCCCCAACCGTTGGAATAACCCTTTAAGGTCTTGAGTGCTCTTTAGCGAAATCAAAGTATAATACAAGAATAGATCTTAAAGGAACCACTATAGAATCAGGAACAAAAACCACATATTAGCGACCCTATAGTGTTAAAAACACCAACTAGCCCCCCCTCACTTCCTTAAATATAGTAAAATCTTACTTGTATTCAAGTCTGCAGTTGCTGGCTCTGTCCCCTGACCTGACTGACATTATCAGAAGTGATTCTGTGAGCCAATCACAATGCTTTCCCATAGGATTGGGTGAGACTGTCAAGGAGGCAGATCAGGGGCAGAGCCAGCACAAGTCAAACACAGCACTGGCTAATCAGCATCTCCTTATAGAGATGAATCGAATCAATGCATCTCTGAGGAAAGTTCAGTGTCTGCATGCAGTGGGTGGAGTCACTGAATGGGACCAGGAAGCAGCTCTGGTAGCCATCTGAGGAGTGGCCAGTGGATGTATTCATAGGATGTAATGTAAACACTGCATTTTTTCCGAACAGACAGTGTTTACTGCAAAAAAAATTGAAAAATAAATAAATTCAACAATAACCTCTTGCTTGGTGCACAGAAGTTAAAAGGGCACTCCACTGCCTAAATACACACTATATATATATATATATATATATATATATATATATATATATATATATATATATTTATATTTTTTTTTTTTTTTTTTTTACACACACACACACACACACACACACACACACACACTTAGCAAATATAGTATTTTGTTATACATTTTCCCCCACTGTGGGTATATCTATGAATAACTTGCAAAAGCCTTTGCAAGCCCTCACCCAACCCAGTCTAGACTCTGTGGCTGTCCAATCAGACTGCCCAATGCAGCTCAATGAGAAATATTTTGCTAGGCAGGTGCGCTGAGCAATTGCTGCCTATTGAATTTAGCTCCACCGAGCTAACCAACCAGGAAGTAATAAGATAAATTGTGTGATTGACAGCCAAGATGTATAACATTTGGAATTTACCCTTTAATGAGACAGGAGTTCTGCTTCCAGCTGGAAAACAGATTAGTAGCTGCTACTAGCAGTTAGTGACCGCTTATGGCAGCTATTTACAAGACAAGGTTGGAACCAAGAGAAATGTTTGTTTCCCTCCCCCCAAATATCAAAATAATAATTTAAAAAAATAAAATAAAATAAAGCAGCTTTAACTATGATTACTAAAACAGTTTATTGCAAACAATAAACGGGATATGTTTGCTAGCATATGGAATAAAATATACATGGATGTTTTAGAATGCAAAAATTTTATATTTTCCAATTTCAGCTACAGTTCACATGAGTCAACACTTTTAATGGACGGCAATAACCCCAACTGATCTGAGGTTTCCTTTTCAGAAATGGAAATTGCCAACCTACAGCACTGTGTCAGTGAGTTTCTGTAAAAAAAATTAATCATAAGACACTTCTCTTAGCAAATTTTAACTTAGACAAGTGGGCAGTATAAAGGTCATTGTAAACTTTAAAGGATCACTATAGTGCCAGGAAAACATACTCGTTTTCCTGGCACTATAGTGCCCTGACGGTGCCCCCACCCTCAGGGTCCCTCTCCCGCCGGGCTCTAGGGGGTGGAAGGGGTTAAACTTACCTCTTTCTCCAGCGTCGGGCGGGGGACTCTCCGCCTCCTCGGCTGAATGCGCATGCGCGGCAAGAGCCGCGCATGCATTCAGCCAGTCCATAGGAAAGCATTCTCAATGCTTTCCTATGGACGCTGGCGTCTTCTTACTGATTTTCACAGTGAGAAGCACGCAAGCGTCTCTAGTGGCTGTCAACGAGACAGCTACTAGAGGCTGGATTAACCGTAATATAAGCTAAGAAAAAAAGGGTTAAACCTAGCTGGACCTGGCACCCAGACCACTTCATTAAGTGGAAGTGGTCTGGGTGCCTATAGTGGTCCTTTAAAACCCAGCCCCGAAAGACCAGTGACAAATCCATATGCCGCTGCATTTAGGCGAGTGCAGAGCTGTTATATCAGCCTCTTAGAGATCAATTGAATTAATGCATCCCTTCAAGGGAAATTCAGTGTCTGCATGCAGAGGGTGGAGACACTGAATGGCAGTGCCGCTTACTCTGCAGTATTGCCCAAGGAAGCAGCTTTAGAAGCCATCTTTGGAGTGGCCAGTGGAGTTATCACTAGGCTGTAAGGTAAACATTGCATTTTCTCTGAAAAGACATGGCTTGCAGCAAAAAGCCTGAAGGGAATGATTCTACTCACCAGAACACATACAATAAGCTGTAGTTCTGGCTATAGTGTCCCTTTAAAAACAAACATCTCTTCCAGTAACTATTTCCTCAGGATCAAATTCATCATAAAACCATTTTATTTAATGGTACAAATGTAATTTACTTCCATCCCATTTGTTCTAAATGTTTTTATGGTGAACCTAAAAGTACACTTTGTAAAAGAATACCATACAGATGGTCTATATTTAGAGATTATTTCGTGATTAAACCGCTGTACAACAGTTAGTTTAGTTAATGTGCCAAATGTCATCATACCCTTGGCCTTTTCATTCAGTGTCTGAAAATGTTTAAAATAGCTCTCATTCATCCACGCATCAGTTTTACAATGACATGGCTGATTATTCAGGCATTGACAAACTCCTTGATCCTAAGAGCTGTTCCTCCCTAACCCTATGCACCAAGGACAGTTTATAAAATAACAATCCAGAGTTTAATTCCTTAAATAGCAACTGCCAGTTTTTAGGATTTTTAATTATCAATCTTGTTTACTTGGCCTCTATATTTAGTAAATGGGTTTTTATGAGGTCTGAAAATTAAAAATGTAGAATTCCACACATAAATCCTGAATCTAGGCACCTCTATCTTCGCTTCTTGTCAACCAACATAAAATGTTAGCCCTATGTGGTTAAACAATGTTTTATCTGTGTTTTTCCCCTTCTCCCACTAAATATGTTCTCTTCCCAGATTGTGTTATGTACCATGGATGTGCCTGGACTAAACTGCATCATCAAAAGAAGAAGAGGGAGATTCATCTGGTTAGTGCCATCTTTTAATAATAAGAAAAAACAAAATCATATACTTTGAGCAAGAATGTATTTGTCCTATCAATTACATCACACTACCAGTCTGTTCATGGTATTTTGTCTCATGAGAGATCTAGACATACATTGGAAAAAGCTTCATATTGGTTGAGTGCCAAATACAGTACCCAGTTTATACGGCTCTGGAAAATGAGAGCGTGAGCTCATATACGCATAACAGAGATTGTTTTTATTATTGCACCATATCATAGGTTTCTTGTATCTATTTTCACAAGGGATGACATTTTAGGATTGAGTTTTTACATCAAACTTTTAGCTGTACCAAAAACTGCTCACAAATGTGGTAAGTTTCTATGTTACCATACTCAACTTCTTGTTCACAGGCTCCTCAGCCTAGGATGGCGTTCAGGCATCAGTAGAGGAGGAATTCATGTTCATGAGTAGGAAGCCTGAGCCAACCTCCCTGGTACGCTTATCTTTGACAGTGTACATTTGGCAAACGTTCAGCCACACTACATATTGACTGCGGTTTAGTACGTTAGGCCATTTACATTTTGGTTCAGTGCATTCGGCCTATGTTCGACCACACCACATAATCACTGTGGTGGAGTACATTCGACCTAAATTCAGCTATGCTACAGATTCACATTGCTTCACTACATTCGACTACGCTTTTACTACTTTTTAAGCCTCATTCTGCCACACTACTGGTCAGACATTTACATGTAATTTCACATATCATAGTATAAATTACACTTAAGGATGCAGTGTAGTAAAAATGGGTAAAAGTACCTGGAAACTAAATTAAGTGTCCTACTTGTATTTTATGACTCTACCTATTGTCCATTAAAGGAGCACTATAAGGTCAGGAACACAAACATGTATTCCTGACCCTATAGCATGGGTAGGCAACCTATGGCACGTGTCATGCACTGGATTCATTGTGACTGTGCACGGCACTCAACACTGCTAGAGCCAAACAGGGTCTGGCCTATCAGGAGTCTCAGTGAAACTTCAGATATCTCGTAATCCGAAAAGGTGGTGAAGGAAAATCTCCAATTTATGCATTGCAGCATGTGGAGGACGTGATCTCATATCACTTCCTCCCAGCACTTGTGAATGGGAATCCACACTGGATTAGAGCAGCCAGCAGCTGCTGTTGCAGCTCCTGTCCTTGACCTGTACCTAGCCAGCTTGGTCCCCACTGGAACCCAGGGAAGCCACCCATACTGCTTGATATACACAGAAATGCAGAATAAGCCTCCCCTCATACAAATAATACAAACAGCCTACACACAATCTGCACAAATGCAACATAACTAACAATCTACATACATGCATGCACACACACACACACACACACACACACACACACTTGTTTCCACTTTAGTAAAATGAAATCGGTATACAAAAATGAAGCAATTAGGGCACAGCAAGGAAATCTGTCAGTAGGGAAGGAAACTGTACTGGATATGAAGCACAGAAACATCCTGTATTATTTATTTGAATCAAGCATATTCCAGTAATTTAGATGATGTGCATATATGCTGTGTAAACTAGTGAGAAGAAAAAAAAAAAAAATAGAATGTTTGTTCAAAATCCAAGGGGTGTGTCTATCACACTGTCAGAGATCCAACAGATAGAAGCAACAAAATTAAGAAGGATGGAAAAGGACTGCAACGAATCCAGGCTTTTGTTATTGGAAAATAAAGCAATGCTTTGAACATTTTCCATCATGTCAGATGCTGTTCTATATTAGCAATGCATATTCTAAAGCAGACTCTGCACCTGTGTTTTATATATTCTTATATACACATGTAAGAAGTATGTTGATCCAAGTCCCAAAGTTGATGCTGGAACAACTATAGTCAGCACGGTTTCCTGCTTGCTAGGATTTGGGACAACAGTATGAAAGATCTTTTGAGAGCCAATAGTACCAGTATTTTCGCATTCAAAGAATTTCAATATGATCTTCTTGCAAGCACATAACTAAAGGCACAAAAATCATTTCACTGTATTCGCTATATAGTGCCTGCAGTCCCCTAGATGTTGGCTAAGGCAGATAACACCAGAGCTTGCCAAATTTATTTTAAATCTAGGAGCCAGCTAAAAAAAAACATAAAATTAGGAGTTTCTGAAAATTAATTTTAAGTTTAAAAAAAAATAAAAAAAATAAAAAATAAAAAAAGAGAAAAATGCAATTCTTAATCGACACTATAGACACCGGAACCACTACAGCTCAATGGTTCTGGTGTCTATAACCTGTACTTGCAGACCTTTCAATGTAAGCACTACCTTTTCAGAGAAAACAGTGTTTACATTGCTGCATAGTAACGGTCACATTTAGATGGCCACTAGCAAGTCCTTGCAGCACCTACGTTCAGCGTTTCCACTTTCTGTATGGAGGCACTGAATTTCCCCCTAGATATGCATTGATTCAATGCATCTCTATGAGGAGACTCTTATTGGCAAATTGTTTTGCTGCGCATGCACAATACCCTCCCTTTGCTGAGATCATAATACTGATTAATTTTAGCCATGGAGGCAGGACCAGCCATGGTGAAAAAAATTGTGTGGGGAACAAAAGTGAGTAAAAACACCTCTCTTGTTTGTGGGCAGGAATCTAAACAGGCACAGACACACACACACTGACACAAATCTCAGCTTGTGTGTATGTGAGAAAAATGTATTTTAATTGAAATCCACCTACCTTTGGGAGAGATAAGTGGATCTTTCCGTGGGGTCCAGTGAGGCTGCTTTCTTTTTCCTGCATGTGAGGGAGCAGTAATCTACCAGCAGCTCCTCTCTGGAGTGATGTCATGTTCCGGCATCATTAAACAGAGTGCGAGGGAGCAGAGAGAAGCTGCAGGTATATTACTGCTCCCTAAAGCGCCATCTACAATGCCCCTGCGTGCGGCCAGCTTAAAGGACTGGCATCCCAGGTGTCAGGGTGAAATTTCTAGTCGTTATGGCGACCTGGTATTTGTGGAGCCCTGGCCTAGTGACACCTCTAGTGGCAGTCACTCAGATGGACACTAAAGTGCTTGCTATCTCAGTGCTGCATAGTGTGCAGCACCTAAACTCAGTGTCTTCCCCACTCTTCATGGAGGCGCTGAACGTTCCCCATAGAAATTGATTAAATGCATCAATACGAGGAGATGCTGATTTGCGCAGCGAGGAGTCTTGCCACGCACGCACAATAGTGCCCCAATGATTTTCTATGAGAAAGCATTGGATTGGCCGAGATCATCAAAACTGATCATCTCAGCCATAGATGCAGGCCAGCTGGAGGGAAACCGGTGAGTAAAAACACTAACCCAATGCAATTGGAGGGAAACTGGTCACCTAAACACACACCATACCACCATAGCAGCAACCCACACAAATTATTATAGGTTTTAATTCAATAAAAGCCTCCCTACCTTTGGGAGAGCTGGAGTGGATCAGCTTTCTCTGGTCTCCAGTTGAAGGCACCTGGGGTAGAGTGGAGGCAGGCGGCCAACTGCGCATATTGTAGACGGGCACCGAGAGAACTTCTCTTCCTGCTCTGCACCCACATGTAGCCGCTTACTTTGGCTGAGCGCAGAGAAACATATTCTGGCCACAGCATCACTAGCCTGCACTCAAGGGAGCAGGAAGATCACAGTTCCCTTGGTGCCCATCTACAATACACACAGCTGCCCGCCTCTGAGGGAACGGGAGACATTAAACACTATAAACAAATCTTTTGCGCCAATCAAAAGCCAATGATATCCGAAGTAGGGTTAAAAATTTCCACTCCCCATAAGCCACTGCCAAATGAAAATGTATCCCTAGTTAATAGAAATTCTCCACTAATGCATTTGCTATGGTGAGAATTTTTTAAGGCCTATCTAGTAGCATTGGACTCCAAATTTTAAAAATGTGTCCTAAGCATCTTTTTGCCTCATACATTTCGATTTCAAAAGGGGTATTCCAAGTACTACAAATCACTACTTACCACTGCAGTGGTTATAGTATTAGCATGCCTCTGACAATATCACCCAGTTAAGTGTGAACCATCACCACTGAAGGCGCATTCTGCGCTGGACATGGATAATCATGGGCACTCTGACAAGTACGACCCCGGTGCCAGTTTACCAGTTGATCTTCCTTGCATCACTTTTGGTAGGTACTAACCACTGAATTACGGTAACACCCCACAAGACTTGCAATTTTGGAGATGCTCTGACCCAGTCGTCTAGTCATTACTATTTGACCCTTGTCAAAGTCAATCAGATCTTTTTGTTTGCTTATTTATTCTGCTTCCAACATATGAAATTCAAGAACGGACTGTTCACTGGCTGCCTAATATATCCCACCCCTTGACAGGTACCATTGTAACGATATAATCAATGTTATTTACTTCACCTGTCTGTGGTTTTAATGTTGAGGCTGACCAGTGTAAAGATGTCACAATGAAGCAAATATAAGATAAGATAACATGTTCTTTGTTTTGGCAAATTAAGCCATGTTTAAACATGGTCTGATCTTTGAACTGCACTTGTGGAAGTCACGGTGGCTGAGACAGAGCTACCAACAGATACCGGTTGAGATGCCCTTGAAATTAAATATTATATAGACACTAATTAAGTGTAATTGTCTACCCAGTAACATGCTCCAATGTCACTGCTTGAGTGCAGTCATCTTGGTTCATGGTAAACCATGATAAATTAGATAGAATTAAACAGTATGGCATATACTTATGTTAGACAAAAATTATCAATGTGGCTTAAAAGAAGTGTACATGAACAAAACAAGAAGCCACGTTAAAATCTATAAGCACATATTTCTGAAACATGGCGTTAGACAAGAACGATTGTGTTTACTTGCAAGATGACGTATTTTGGAATTCTTAGAAATCTAGAGCTTTCCATGCATATAGTAAAAACTAAACATCCACACGACTGATTTATAGTTTGTTAACACAGGCAAATAGTTTGCACATTAATTTTAACTAAAGTGTGAACTGCAGAAAATTGAAAGTGAATTTAGATTTCAGGCTAAAATAGCCAACAGAAACTATCAATTCAGCTAGGTTTCCAGCTTAGCCATTTTGGCCTAAACTTTGACATTCACTCAGACTTACTGGGTTAGTCACTAAAGTGTGAAGCAATAAGCCTGTGTAGATGGGCAACAAAAGAAAGCAGAAAAAAAATTTTTAAAAAAATTTGTGTGACACTAAATTATTTATTTGCAGCTTCTTCACCCCATGTGGGGTGTCCAAAAAACAAGATAACTCATCTGATGCAAGCATCCATAAATAATAATTTGCCCAATCCTGTGTAACAGAATGGGTGCTCAATAGACAAACTACAGGTTGGAAACGTAAATCGGGTACCAGAATTTATATAACATTTCTTTTATAATCTATATAGTTTTCTCATACTGCCTTACAGTTAAAATAATTAGTGACTATATCAGTTTGCAGTAAGCATTATAAAACAAAACAATTTGGTGAAACCAGGTAAGATGATGGTGAGTAAATTATGGCCATTAACAAGAGATGAAGAATACATGATGGTAAGTGATCAGTGAATACAAGAGCCTTCCATCACATTACAGTAAAGGAATTAACTATTCTGTCAAGCACCCATTCCACCAATTTAATTATCTACAAATAGGCTATAAATTACAGGATCCCCCACCCCCTTCTCACAGTAAAAGAAGCATCATTCCTAGATTCATTGAGGGGGTAGGAATGAATGACATTTCTTATACCTATCATTACAGATATTGAGGCAGATCGCTATCAATTATATACTTTTTTGAAAAATTATTTAACTGTACTTGCTATATATGGGAGCTATGCTGAAATGCAGACATACTTTTTTCACATTCTGTTATTTTTAGTAAACTGGATTGCTAGTTATGGCATCAGAGTACGTAAAATATGTACTATTACTCTCTTCTAATGCCAGCGGTCGCTCAACCTCTCATACTGGTTTGCCGAGAGGAAAGAAACAAGGAGTATCAGATTTAAGGATGTAACCTCTCACGGTAACCAGTGGCCCTGACACTCCTGCTGCCCCATAACAATTCTAATAAACATAAGTTGTTATGGGTGGGAGTGGTCCTTTTGGAAAAAATAAATAATAATAAAAAAAAGATTAAAACACACACACACACAATATATAATATATATATTATATATATATATATATATATATATACATATATATATATACACATACATACATACATACATACATACACATACATATATACATATATACACACACATTATGTGCACCACCTTTGTTAAATTAAGACGTTTATGAACAACGCCATAGTTGTAATAAAAAAAAAATAAAAAAATAAAAAAAGAGAAAAAGCTCCATAATCCTCATTTATTATGCATTATTTTACATTAAAGAATATTATTTAAATTAAATCATCAGTGCTTTCCAGTGAAAATCCTTGAAAGATGATATTGCCAAGATCTTTATGTAAAACAAATATCCGGCCATAATTTTAAATCAACTAAAATGTATTTAGACAAAACTAATTTGTTAAACCTGCAACGAAAAGGATTTGAAGAATCTTCAGAAACCTCTCATTTTCACTATTTCTTCTGCACTGCATTTAAATATCTTTCAATCCTAATCCTATCAGTTTTCCTCATAACACCATCTACCGGACTTTAATTCTTGACATAATATTACCGAAAGAAGTGATCTGTCTGCAATCCATCTGGCAGGTATAAAGCTGCAACAAGCACCATCTGGGGTATCAATGGCAGTCTGCAGCACATCAAACAGTAATGAGCATTGTGTAACAGATAACCAGGATAGTCCATTCATTTAGAGACAGCTGTTAGTCACCAATCTCTAAAAGCTGAATGACTCATACAGTTTTGCCACAAATAACTAATAATGAGCTAAGAATTGCGGACATAAAGTCATAGGTAGAAAACAGTCTGGCGATGGAAAAACTTTGTACAAGCTCATTTATACCAATTCAGTAACTAAAATTCACAATTTAAAACCCTGGCAAGTATTGCATCTGTTCCCCATGATATATTTCTTAACAGTTTCCATAGCACCAAGCATGCTTTGTTTACCATACATGGGTATCTAAAAGAAAGGGCGATGGAAATGGAAGTAGAAATTGAAATGTATATTTCCCCACCATACATTTTACATAAGACGGTTTTATGTGATTGAGTGACTTGTTGGCTGTAATTGGCAAGATATGACAAACATTACTGTGACTGCTACTATTGCTAAAATGACTCGAAAGATGAAACATCCATAAAAAACGTCACTATACACGGACTAGTTTATTGCATAACCTGGCTGTATTCAGAGAATGCAAGTTTGAACATATGTGTGTTTACACATGTATAAACACACATTCTTTGGTACACCCAGTCGAATAGACCCCCCTTTTTTTTTTTCTATTTATGTGTGTGTCTCAAAACAACTATTTATTTCCTTTAAATAAGAATAAACCCCAGACCAACAGCCTAATTATGCACAAATCTGATATTACACACTTTACAAATACAGGGACACTGGTAAAAAGTGTTCAGTGTCCTACACTGACCCTGACTAAGGGCTGGTCATCCTTTGGTACCGCAGCTATGAGAACTGCATTTCCATGATTCCCATGCCCCCAAACCAAGCCCAGCATAGCTGAAATGCCATATACCAGTTCCTTAGTTAATATTTATTTCTATGGTCACTTCATTATTAAACATTTAGCCAAATATCCCTCATAAGCACACTGACCCCCATGGTTAACATCGCAACAGGATTTTTTTTTTTTTTTTTTTAAATCTAATATGTGGACATCACCAACTTCTGTCATAGGTCCACATCATAACTCTACCTCATCATCAGTGATGTGGAGTAAGAAATAAACACATCAATAAAATAATCCCAATTCATCCCATTGTGCCACCAGGGCTGGGGCTCTGGATGCCCAGTATAAAATAGCACGAGCTCCTAGGGATCAGACCATCCAGCACCCTCTATAGACCGTCTCCCACCATCCACCACCCTCTACAGACCGTCTCCCACCATCCACCACCCTCTACAGACCGTCTCCCACCATCCACCACCCTCTACAGACCGTCTCCCACCATCCACCACCCTCTACAGACCGTCTCCCACCATCCACCACCCTCTACAGACCGTCTCCCACCATCCACCACCCTCTACAGACAGTCTCCCACCATCCACCACCCTCTACAGACAGTCTGCCACCATCCACCACCCTCTACAGACAGTCTCCCACCATCCACCACCCTCTACACCACCATCCACCACCCTCACAGACGGTCTGCCACCATCCAGCACCGTCTACAGACAGTCTGCCACCATCCACCACCCTCTACAGACAGTCTGCCACCATCCACCACCCTCTACAGACAGTCTGCTACCATCCACCACCCTCTACAGACAGTCCGCTACTGTCGCATCTAGCGTTCTGCCAGTGGTCGTGGACCACGTTTCCCGTCATGCTCTGCCATTGTGTGTGCTGTGCATCATTATACATGTAGTCCATAACCCTATAGTATAGAATGAGTGTTCACCATATGTGCAAATCCACGCAGACTCTCACTCCCCATCACCATGCTGTCTCTCTCTCACTCTGTCACCATGCTGTCTCACTCTGTGTCACCATGCTGGCTCTCTCTCTCTGTCACCATGCTGGCTCACTCTCTGTCACCATGCTGGCTCACTCTCTGTCACCATGCTGGCTCACTCTCTGTCATGCTGGCTCATGCTGGCTCTCTCCTCTCTGTCACCATGCTGTCTCTCTCTCTCTCTGTCACCATGCTGTCTCTCTCTCTCTGTCACCATGCTGTCTCTCTCTCTCTCTGTCACCATGCTGTCTCTCTCTCTCTCTGTCACCATGCTGTCTCTCTCTCTCTGTCACCATGCTGTCTCTCTCTCTCTCTCACCATGCTGTCTGTCTCTCTCACCATGCTGTCTCTCTCTCTCACCATGCTGTCTCTCTCTCTCACCATGCTGACCTCTCTCTCTCTGTCCTTACATGCTGGCTCTCTCTCTCTCTGTCACCATGCTGCTCTCTCTCTCTCTGTCACCATGCTGGCTCTCTCTCTCTCTGTCACCATGCTGGCTCTCTCTCTCTGTCACCATGCTGGCTCTCTCTCTCTGTCACCATGCTGGCTCCTCTCTCTGTCACCATGCTGGCTCCGCTCTCTGTCACCATGCTGGCTCCTCTCTGTCACCATGCTGGCTCACTCTCTGTCACCATGCTGGCTCACTCTCTGTCCTGGCTCTCTCTCTGTCACCATGCTGGCTCTCTCTCTCTCTCTCTCACCATGCTTCTCTCTCTCTCACCGGCTGTCTCTCTCTCTCACCGCGTCTCTCTCTCTCACCATGCTGCTCTCTCTCTCACCATGCTGTCTCTCTCTCTCACCATGCTGTCTCTCTCTCTCACCATGCTGTCTCTCTCTCTCTCCATGCTGTCTCTCTCTCACCATGCTGTCTCTCTCTGCCATGCTGTCTCTCTCTCTCACCATGCTGTCTCTCTCTCTCTGTCACCATGCTGTCTCTCTCTCTCTGTCACCATGCTGTCTCTCTCTCTCTGTCACCATGCTGTCTCTCTCTGTCACCATGCTGTCTCTCTCTCTCTCTGTCACCATGCTGTCTCTCTCTCTCTCTGTCACCATGCTGTCTCTCTCTCTCTGTCACCATGCTGTCTCTCTCTCTCTCTCTCTCTCTCTGTCACCATGCTGTCTCTCTCTCTCTCTCACCATGCTGTCTCTCTCTCTCTGTCACCATGCTGTCTCTCTCTCTCTGTCACCTGCTGTCTCTCTCTCTCTCTCTCTCTCTCTCTCTGTCACCATGCTGTCTCTCTCTCTCTCTGTCACCATGCTGTCTCTCTCTCTCACCATGCTGTCTCTCTCTCTCTCACCATGCTGTCTCTCTCTCTCACCATACTGTCTTTGTCATGCTCCAGTCACTCAGCATCCTTTATCCGGGTCCCTGACACACCCTGCCAGCCTGGCTCTCACCTGCTGACTGCCGAGACACAGAGCAGATAACGGTCCAGGTGGGTCTGTCTGGGCGGGCGGGCCGGTTGCCAGGAGCTGTGCTGGAAGCCGGGCGAGTTCGTGTTGGTCTCGGACAGTCTCTGTCTCTCCACTGCTGTCTCTTCAGGTAACTGACCGATAGTAACCTCCAGCTCCGGAAACCCACCGGCTACGTCATCTGATTCGATAGCCAGTAACCAATCAGCGTTCCCCCTCCACTCCCGCCCTTTTTTCTTTTTCCACCATCCATCATTTGAATGGGAGGGGGTCTCGTGGTGCGCATGCGCAATGTGATGCCATGTGCTGGATTTTGTCACATTTTGGTTTACAAAGATTACAAATTGTGACCACAGCACGATATGTTCTTATTACAAAATGTGCAGAACACACAGCTTCAGAAATAAAATCTAACACACTGGGTACTTTACATAAAATGATGATAATGGTCCAAGATTGTTGTTTATGGTCCAAGTTTTCCAGGTGGATACATTTGAGGGATTTTCTAATTCCTTTCAGCTGGAGATTCTGACAAAATGTACATTGTTTGGCTATTCTTAAAGACCGTGTAGGCCAAACAGGGCTATGCAACCTTTGGCACTCCAGATGTTGTGGACTACATCTCCTATAATGCTCCTACACAGGGCCGTCTTTATGCACGGGAACCCTGGGCAGTTGCCCGGGGCGCCACGAGCATAGGGGCCCCACAGCGATGCCCATGTGCCCAGTCCGACTTGCAGAGCTGGCCTCGCTGCCTTTTTGGGCCAGTGGGGAGCACACGCTTGTGCTATAGGGGGGCACTAACATTTCCTTGCACCAGGTCACCCTCTATATTAGTTCCACCACGGACCCCTGGTACAATTGCCTCTATAGCACTCTGTAGTAGTTATGTTGCTTCCAGTGTTCCTTTAACTGATAATGTGCTTTACAATTTTACATTATTATAATTATTAGCATATGTGTAGTATCAGTTTTAGCAAGTAATTGACTGACAAAACAACAGTTAATAGAGCTTACAACTTAGAATATGAGCATGAAAATTCTGATTATGAAAGTCATAAATCGCCACCTGCTGTAACTATCTCTAGATAAACCCTTTATACATACAAATAATTCAAGAAGGAAATCACAGAAACCTACTTTTAAACAAAACATACAAGTAGTTCTCAACTAAAAGAACACAGGTTTTTAAATTAATTTGTTTATAATGCTGGAGTACTAGGGAGTCTCATGGACCGCTTTGCCGCCATCGCATGTTTTCCTCACAAGCCCTTTGTTCTTTTGGGATTAAGCCACTAATTTATTGAGCAATGTGGAAGTATGTTAAACCCTTAGACGACTTCCACATAAAAAAACTAAATAGAAAAGTAAAAAAAAAATAAAAAATACAAAACATAAATTACATAAATGTTGCAATTTAAAGGTGAAGTCTAAGTACCATAACAATTACATCCTATTTTAGTGGATTTGGTGCTAGTAGGCTGTGGAAATTATTCCCCAGTTCCCCAGTTCTGGGTCAAACTGTTTTTGTATGGTTTAACCAAATCTGGGGTCCCAGAGTCGAATGCAGCACAGTATATTTGTAATGTGGACCTGGGCTCAGCCTATCATTTCTGTCATATCATGGATGAAACTGACATTGCTAGGGCAACTGATACTGTGCCTTAGATATGTACTAGTTATAGTGCTTAGACAGCCTCTTTACATTTTAACTAAGCACTGTTCACTATTTAGTAAACAAATCAAACACTTTTACAAGAACAAGTAAATTATTTTTAATGAATGCTCGACCACAATAACCACGTGAGATTATTAAATTGATTATGGTGCTACCACCCTGTCCCTGCAGGTTTTTGTTTGACAATTTTGTCAAAATGATAGAATAGGGCTTAAAAGCAGACTACTGGACTTGCAAGCATTCACTCACAGGGAGCACTTCATGCAAGTCCCTTCTAAATCAATTCTGCTTACCAATTTATTAAAGAAAGATCCTGGAGATTTGACTCAACAAACTTGACTCAAGGAAGCAGGTACCAGTACAATATACTCTGCAATCCCCTGGACAGAGTTTAATCAGTTCACTAGAGTTATAGCTTTACTCTCTCAATAGTAAATGGAAAATTCCTTACAATAATCACTCTTTGTTACTGAATAGCTATTAAAATATTGTCCAGTTGGAAGTTGACCCCCATTGTTATTATGTATTATATACGTAATGCAATAAATGTTTACCATCGACAAAAAACGAATCGGTTTGGAATTTCCCTGCTTTTGTTGCAAATTCACGTAGGTTTTAGGTTCATACGGTGTGTTCAGCCAACAATAGGACATAATTCACTCGTGTAAGCCAATCCTAGCTACCACATATATTTTTACATTTTCGAAACACAGTAGACAACAGAACTTGTCTTGTATAACACACCATGTTTGTAGTAACTCACTTTCATGAAAATTAATATATTGTTGACGTATCTTCTGTGTTTAGGTCTGAAATATAAAATTAAATGTAGAAACACACACTTTTATTACGGAACTGGGTAACTCTGTCTTGTATTCCTGTCAGCCATTTTTAAAAATGTAGCCCTTGTCGCCACTGAAAAATGTTAGTGGAAGAGGAGAAACCAAAACAATGTTTCTGTTGCCTTCCTCATTTGCATTAAGTGCCCTGCTGGGCCTGGTCTCAACTGGATTTTGGTGTTTCTTGTTAAATCTTTTATACAAATTTAAAAGAAAACAGAACATCACATGAAAAAAAAAGCATGTTATAGGGGAATTTCAATATGTTTTTTATTGGTGTTATATCCATAGAAATGACAACAGGACCCTCCTTTCGTTAGAGTTCAGATTTTCCAGATGTTTTTTTTTTTGAGGGGGGGGGGTTTCTCTGTTGCACAGCTCTGTGTAAATTTTGGTTATTCATTGGAAATACAAATGACTAAGTCATTTACTAATCCAGTTGTTCTCCAGCATATAGCTAAAAAAAATAAGTCTAATTTCACAATTTTGAAATCACAGAACACACCCAATAAGAAAATGTGGTGCACAGCAGGCATCACAAACTCAGAACTCAAGGGTTTGTGTTTGTGGTGTGTTTGTTCAATTCCACATTATATTAAAGTAACACTATAGTGTTCTGAATAAAAAATGTATTCCCCTCCAGCCCTATAAGGGTTAAATAATCCTTTAAGTACTTATCTGATTCCAAGTCTCTTGGTGCTGGTTCTGGCTCCTCCTCCGATATCGACAGATAGGGCAACTCAATGCACATATTAGGCCTTCCCCATAGGAAAGCAGTGATGCTTTCCTTTTGGGATTTATAAGCCACTGGACATCCTCATCCAGTGTTGTTTCACTGAGTTAAGCTTCGTGAAACAGCAGGAAGAGCCACTAGAGGCAGTCTTAACCCCTTAAGGACTGAGCCAAATGTACACGTTGAACAAAACCTGGCATTTGCGCTGCATGTCTGTCCAACCGTAATTCACCTCTTTCATAGTAAATGCACCCACCCTTATTATATATCATTTTATTCAGGGGAAACAGGGCTTTCATTTAATAGCAAATATTTAGCTATGAAACATAATATAATATAAAAAAAAATGGGAGAAAATAAGATTTTTCTTTTTTTTTTTTAGTTTTACATGACATTTTAACTGTCAGTGTCATAATACTGTTTGCTTTTACTGCAATAAAATACACATATTTGTATTCAGCAAAGTCTCATGTGTAAAACAGTACCCCCTATGTACAGGTTTTATGGCGTTTTGGGAAGTTACAGGGTCAAATATAGCACGTTACATTTGAAATTGAAATTCGCCTTTGAGACTGTGTAGTAGCCCAGGAATGAAATTTACACCCATAATGGCATACCATTTGCAATAGTAGAGAACCCAAGGTATTGCAAATGGGGTATGTCCAGTCTTTTTTAGTAGCCATTTGGTCACAAACACTGGCCAAAGTTAGCGTTAGTATTTGTTTGTTTGTGACTACTAAAAAAGACTGGACATACCCCATTTGCAATACCTTGGGTTGTCTACTATTGCAAATGGTATGCCATCATAGGGGTAATTTTCATTCTTGGGCTACTATAGGGTCTCAAAGGCAACGTAACCAATCTGGCGAATTTTAATGTGAAAAAAATGAAAACACAAGCCTTATATTTGACGCTGTAACTTTTGAAAACACCATAAAACCTGTACATGAGGGGGTACTGTTGTACTCAGGAGACTTCGCTGAACACAAATATTTGTGTTTCAAAACAGTAAAAAGTATCACAGCAATAATATCGTCCATGTAAGTGCTGTTTGTGTGTGAAAAATGCGAAAAACTTCACTTTTACTGGCGATATCATCGTTGTAATACATTTTACTGTTTTGAAACACTAATATTTGTGTTCAGCGAAGTCTCCCAAGTAAAACAGTACCTCCCATGTATAGGTTTTATGGTGTCTTGGAAAGTTATAGGGTTAAATACAGTGCTAGCAAATTAAATTCCCTAATTGTAATTAATTAAAATACCTAATTATGTAAAGATATTACATAAATATATATGTAGAATTAATATATGTATATATATATATACGTATGTGTATATATATGTATATATATATTTTAAAAATATATTTTTATTTATAGGTAAATATATAGTGATATATACGTATATATTTATGTATATAGATATAAATATTATTTCGTTCTACGTGTATTTTGATATAAATATATATATATATTAATATCACAATACAGTTAGAACGAAATAACCCACATCTATATATTTTTTATTTATTTTTTATTATTTTTTTAATTTTATTTTTTAACATATTTACATATTTTATAAATATATATATATATATAACAATAATTATATATATATTTAATCAGTATCAGTCTATGTGTAATTTGATATTAATATATATATAATTATATATATATTTATTAATAGTAAAATACACCTAGACAGTATATGTGTGTGTATGTATATGTGTATATATATACTTGGATCATATTTATATATGATCTAAGTATATAATTATTTTTTTTTACACTGATTAACTTTATTTTATTTGACTTCCAACCAGCAGGGGGACTAACTGTCATTACAGACAGTCCCCCTGCTGGCAATGCAGCAACCAGCTAACCCGGCCATGTGATTGTGAGGTCCTCGCAAGGACCTCACTCTCACATGGCCGGGGGGGCCAGAGGAGGCAGGATCCACTGCAGGGATCCCAGGTGAGTCTCCCCAACCGCGATCGCCGGCGTGGGATCGTTGGCGACCCGGTAAGTAAGAAAAAACGGAGGGCGTACTGTGGCGTTTAGAGAGGCTTAGAATAGGGCGTAATAGTACGCCCTCTGGTTTTAAGGGGTTAATCTCTGCAATATAAACATTGCAGTTTCTCTGAAACTGCAATCTTTTAGATTTCAGGGCTAAGGGGGAACAGGGACACTGAACCCAGACCACTTCAATTAGATTAAGTGGTATGGATGCCCATTGTGTCCCTTGAATATCCCTTTTAGAATAATAAAATAAAGGACGTTCCCTTTCAAGGAACTGTGCTAATTTTACTCATTTTTTATTAGGCAGAATTCACTAAACAGTGAGTTCAATTGTTAACAAAATAGCAAAAAAAAGAGATCAAAATAGTAAGACTGGAACAAATCTCCAATTAAGGAAGATGTATTTAGCAACATTGCTATTTTTGGCCTGAATTCCTCTAGTCAGTTGTCATGTCATCACAAGTCTTTGTGATGAATTAGACAATTAGAATGAGTTAGTCATTTACTAACTTTAGGCTTTTTTCAGCTATAGAACACACTGTAATCTGTGTTTATATAGTCAAAATGTGGATAGCAAAATGCTAAGAAATTAAGGAGGAAACTGGAAAAAGTAGAAGTGATGGGAGATAGTTAAATTTGACATGATGGGCATTTAATTACAATTCAGTAGTGATGTCGCGAACAGTTCGCGAACTTCCCGCGAATGGCTCGCCGCAGTTCGTGGCGAGCTCCGGTCAGCTGACACATCCCGGCCAATCTCCAGCAGACCCTCCCTCCCAGACCCTCCCACCTCCTGGGCAGCATCCATGTTGAAGCTGCCTTCAACATGGATGCTGTCCAGGAGGTGGGAGGGTCTGGGAGGGAGGGTCTGCTGGAGATTGGCCGGGATGTGTCAGCTGACCGGAGCTCGCCGCGAACGGTTCGTGGCGAACCGTGGCGAGCCGTTCGCGGGATGTTCGCGAACGGTTCGCGACATCACTACAATTCAGTAGCCAACAGATAACGGGGTTAATATACTTTTAAGTAGGATCTACATATTACATATTAGTGAACTGCTCATATTTTAACGTGCAAGGAGACTTTGATGCAGTCCTGCTGTGCTCAAAGATTTTGTCAAAAAATGAGAAGTCAAAATATGACCGTTCAAGACGTTGTGTAAACCGACAATGCTGCTACCAAAATGTCGAACCAAAACAGGTTCCCCCCTACCCCTTTTATTCTTCTGTACCCCACCCTACTCGCAAGGTACTAACGATGTAAGAACTGCAAACTTTCCCCACCCCCTTCTTTTCTGTACCCCATTGGATTATGTTTTCATGTTTTAAAATGACAAAATGAATAAAAATAGTCAAATTAAAAAAAAAAAATGAGAATTCTCCTGCACCCCAAATTCACTCCCCGTTTTTTCATTGTTGTAATGAGAAATGTCTGTATACATATTTGTATGGTGTGAACTCACAATGCACACTGTGACATACCGGGAAAATTCTGTGACATAATATTCTTTGAACACTACACAATAGTAGAATTTGGTAAATGGCAATTTGATGCTTAGTGGTTTTGGTAGTTAGAATATCCTTCTAATAGGTGTTGAATTTTCATAATATAATAATTAGATATACTAATTCAATGCTTTTTCTTAACATACAGGCTTATAGTTCCAGGGTTGTTTGAATTTTATTTTTTTTAAAATATCTACTAGGAAATAAAACATTAGCCCAATCTATTTGCCCATCATGACTTGACCTGACACAAAATAAGTGCAATTACAAAGGTTGGAGCCTCTACCGAGATCTCTGGATATTGTCATTTGCTAAACTCTGAATTTTCACTAATTAAAACTTGATGGAAAAAAAAAAAAGTAAACATATCTCATCTGGAAAAAGATCTCTAACTCTACAATAGTAACAACATGGCTAGTTTTGCCATATGGATTATTTTTTCAAAAGTTTGGAGTTTTGTGTCTCACTGTCTGTCCTTCCATTATCACTCCCTTTGTCATAGTGTATGTGTGCGCAGTGTGTCCTGGCTGTGTCGTGTATGTGGTGGGTGCTGACTGAGTTCTGACTGTGTGTAATGTGTGCTGGCTGTGTGTTATGTGTGTGGTGTGTGCCAGCTGTATGTCATGTGTGATACCAAACCACACCTCTATCTGAACATCACTGGAAACCAGTAAAAAGGGATGTTCTTCAGACACTATGAGACTCCTATAAATCTTGGACAACCAAATATAAGACACTAAAAAGGTCTACAAACATAACACAAATCAACATACTGTGGGGATATTTATGGGGTAATAATAGTAAACAGTTGAGAATTGCCCACTAATTCAATTCTCAGATCCCAAAGAACGTTTATCGTAAGTGAAATGTATTTCATATAATTAATATCACAATGTATAAAAATAGATTTTATTTATATGACAAATTAATAATAATATTATGCAACATGCATGACAATAATCAATGAATATCCAGTATAAATTGGTATGCAATACAAAGGAATGGGTATTACGTTTCAATGGCTAAATAGCATTATCTGTCAAGACTTTTGACGATTTATGAGGTATCCTTAACACAGACTTAAGTGAAACTTTTCACAGCGAAGAACAGAATTCCTCAGAGTGCAGCGTAAGGTCGTAAAGTTTAGCAGACAGTTAGAATAACCCTTTCAATGCTGGCTAGATCTCCTAGGTAGTTAAGATCTATTCTTATGTATTTTTAAATAAAATAACATTTAACCCAGTTCATTAGTCATTTTCTTAAAATCATCCAATAAGAGAATTTACCACATTATATAAGCAGATTTTTAATTTGTCTAAAAGATATCTATCTTAATTTAGAGCAAATCAATACACCTGGATAAAAACAGCGGTATGCTAACACGTGATAATATCACATCAATATATAATTATTCTTAATTCCACCTGCAGAATGGAATGTTTATAACTATATATTCTTAGTTAACTAAGATTTCTTAATATGGAAATCTGACCGTGCTTTATCCAGTCATATATAATGCTATTAATATATTTTAATTAATTTAATTTAATTAAATGAAACCAGTATAATTACCAGTTGAGTAGATATTTCATCCGATTGGTAGTCTCAGGAACTTATTTGGATGTCTCTCTCTGCATGGAGGTTGGAGTCCCCAAACTTCCAATTCCTCTCTCCTCTTTTTTGCATATCTCTTGGATCTCCCTTCCTATCTCGTATCTCTCTATCTTCCCTTTGTCTTAACTTTTAAAGGGCCAGACTCTCTGTACGTCATCAGTTGATAACCCAATAGAAGTACTAGAGGTGTGGTTATCTTCCAGATCGCAAATTAGTTATTTGGTCTATAGAGGGCAGTCTTGTCCCACTAAACATACCTATCCAGGAAAGAGTTAACTTTTCCTGGTGGCTATTTTGACGTCATTTTGGCCTATCTAGATAGTGGTCATAATTCAGATTTCAAAGGGTTTCTTAAAGTTTGTCCAGACTTAGCGTCTGCAATTCCTGCCATAATTTCTGATATGACAGATCATGAACTAAGTTTACCCTTTTCCATACAATGGTACCTTATATATATAAACAGTTAAATATTAAATTATTTGGGGGCGGGGCCCGGCCGCCAAGCTGGATGGACGTGGAGCACCTCGGCTCCCCGGTGAAACCTGATAACCAGCCTCAAACTACCCCTTCTTACGTCCATAACCCCATGCCGCTACCAGAAGACATGGGGAACCCAAGCAGCAACCTCCGGTACAATTATCAGCTCCCGTCCTGCCGGAGGCACCGACTGATGGGCAGATGGGTTTGCGGCCTGCTGTGAGGCTCTGGCGGGAGAAACGGCCGATCTCCCGTGCTTAGTCCGGCGGGACCTCTCCCACGCCTACTGAGGGCCCCGTTCTCCCCCCCTATGGGCCGGTGGGGGTTATCCCGGTCCCCACCAGGGACGCAGTGATCAATAATAGCATCTGGGCAGTGAAGAAAGCAGCCTGGGACCGCATGGCAAAAACCAAGATGGCCGCCGCGTCTACCACAAGCTGGTGAGCTGGGGCTGTAGCAACTGAGCAACTGCTGGGTACCATCTGAAGCCGGTGCCGATCAGACAACTGCACGCTGGCAACAAGCCGCAGACAAACAAAGCAATCTCCGTGTCCACCCTGACCATCGGACAACTCCAATGGTAACAACTCACCACGCAAACAGAGAATAATTTCGGCTCGCTACAGAGAGCATCGTCCACACCACCTGAGGTATCGCCCCCCCCCACCCACTGTCACTGGTGTGTCTGTGTGGACTGTTTCAGGACTCTGAACCTAACTATACCTGTGGGGATGATGGACATGGGGCGCGGGCTCTACTCTCTGCCTGGGGTTGGTGCCAGCAGTCACACAGGACCGGACACATCCATAACATGAGCTACACCAGACCCGATCCCAGCTAAGACACCGGCCGATCCAGCACAGCCACAGGAGCGACTAGGTGGACGCCTACCACATTTGCCCATGTTTGCACCCAACTATTGTATATTCTTTATTTTATTATCTCATTAATAACTTCATTCTGTGTTTAATGTAGATGTTAACTCTGCAGCTCCCCACTGACAGCGCCTAGGCCTCCTAAGCCTGCACATATACCCTCCCTGGCAAGCCCAGTGCCCCAAGGTCCCTTGGTGGTTAAACCACGCCATGTAATTACACGTTAGTACGTACCTACGCTTAATCTATGTCGGACCTGTCCAACCTGGCTAGTCGGTCACAAACCCAGAAAGTGGCATCACATGACACTTGATTTAGCACACTTGAAAATCCCAGGGGGCAGGGAGTTTAACCCAGTTCCCCTAATATCATCTACACAGCGAGTGTCAACCAGAGGAATCTTAGCATGTCCATTTAACTACTACTGTCTCACATAGCCATGTCTGACTAGCCACGCAGGTCACCACACTAACTGTACACATCTCTCGTGACATCTATTAGGCTAACCCATGTCTATGCTACCCTGTTTTGCCTAACACTTGTTTGAATGCCTTGACAACTTCTCTGCTAAGCTGGTTTAATTTCTTTTGCATAAACAAAAAAAAAAAGCGCAACAAATCACCTTTACCACTATGTCACCGTATTAACTCATGTAACCTGTTAAATGTCATAACCTCACAATGTATCTGACAATGCGCTTCAAAAATAAAGATATATAAAAATATTAAATTATTTAATCTTCTCTGTCACAATCGTCTGGGTTTAGATTTGATTATATTCTTCTTATCACTTGTTTATACTATGCATTCCTTAGCTCTGGCAAAGAGGCCAGTCTTACAGAAAGAAATCTAGTGTCTTCTTTGTTAATTTGAAATAACAAAATGGAGTCTGGTCTGTTCAGAGTGACTCAGAATATACACTTTTAGTTTCTATCATAGCACAAAATGTCTGCCGATATAAATACTCTGACATAACCCCCCTTTAGTGCATTTCATAGCCAAAATTAATTTAGCTTATGAATAAGCACTATAGAAGTTATCAGACATATTGTGCAATCACATAATTTCTAACATAGGCCCGTGCGTGGAATGAACATTTTGTATATATTTGTACCTGTAATAGTTTTAAACTTTACACTTAGTACAATCAACCATAATATCATTATTAACATAGTACATTATTTTCATTTGAAAAATGTTTTTGGGAGTTACATATGGTATGGCCAATAAAAAGCAAATCTCCATACGTTCCGGATCAATTAAGAGAGGTATAGCGCTCCCCATCTCAAAGGCCAGATTTAATTGCATAGGCTCAATTGTCTCTCCATCCACATTGGCAAGCATCGCATGAACAATATCCTTGGATACAAAATACAGAGGTATGCGTCCCCCTGCCAATTCGATCATTCCAGTTTGCACTTCGTCGAGAAAAGCAAGTGTGTGGAACAATATTGGGTCATGCAGAAATAGAAGTTCACGCTTAAATAAGTCATGACTTTGGTGCAACTCAGTGGATTTGGCAATTAACTCCGAATGCAAATTTGTTGTAACAACTGTGTCTTCCACAATAGTTAACACGTCTTGGAGAAGTGTTCTTTGCTGTTGTATCACCTGATGAATATCGTTAATGTGTTGCTTTAGCGCATAGATTTCCATATCCAGCTTTTGGACAGTAATAGAGTTGGCTGCAAACATTCCAGTTGCGACAACTGCACCGACAGTGGCACAAACTAATGCAACAATTATAGCGGTGAGGAACCTTTTGGGTCGGTTGCTCATCGGAATAGAACTGGATACAAATGGTTTCCGGGCTTGCTCCAAGATGTTTCGCACACGGTCCTGTGCTCTTTGGAGGTGCATCTGGTACCAAGTCTGTAACTCAGGAAGCTGCATCGATGAAATGTTGTATGCCTTCTCGATGGAAATCTTGGGGTCCAAGCTGACGAACACACGTCTGGTCAGGATCCTCTTCTCTGTTAAGATGAACCCTGGTGTCTCTTGAATCAGGATGCCGGAGGATGGTCCCATCTCTGCGATCGGGTCGGTCCATAGCTCTTGGCACAGGAGCAGTACGATCCAGAAACACGCCACATCCTTCTTGGACATCTTTCGACAGTCACGGATCAGGAACTCGTTTTAGGCTTATCTACTAATGATTCAAGGTTTGTTAAGCATACAAACTTATAACAGTGAGACATCACTTGGCCTAGGACAACACATTATTACGATTCATCAACATATGTATTCGCTCTAATTCTATTTTTATAACTTCATCCCTCACTACATTTATTACTGACTCTTCAGTAATTTGCCTATAGCAGCTAAAAAGCTAGTAACCTGCTTAGAAATGTAGTTATTGGATGGCAAGGAAATGGTTAATGACATGAACGTACATGAGATCATGGCACATCACAACAATTCACATCATACTATACCACGTAAATCAAGCATTCATCCAGGTTAGTCGTTCATCCTTCTGCGTCTGAATCCACACCTATAATCCTTAATTGAGATTTAGGATGACAAGCACGCAACTGGTTAATGTGAACCCACTTTTCAATAAAATCACCATCCTTAGGAATTTTTATCTTGTACGCTACTGGGGAAATTTTGTCAATGATGACATATGGCCCTTTCCAAGAAGGTAAAAATTTATTTTCCTTGACTTGATTTCGCGCAAAGTTATACAGATAAACTTGATCAGTTATCTCATATTCCTTTTTCGTGGTTTTTAAATCGTAATAGGTCTTAACCCCTGTCGCTGCTTTTTCTAGATTCTTTTGGGCAAAAGCAAATGCATGCTGTAAATGCTTGCGCAAATCTTCGATATACTGATGCGTAGTGGCAGCATTGATCAAGTTATGATCCGAAGTACGATATAGTAAATGCTGTGGTAAAACCATCTTTCTTCCTGTCATCAATTCAAAAGGTGACAATTTGGTAGCAGTGCTAGGTGTAGCTCTAATCGCCATTAAAACTAGGGGCAATTTAATGTCCCAGTCTTTACCAGACTCCTTAACATATTTCTTCAGAATATTAACGATAGACTGGTTATATCGCTCTACCCCCCCGCTAGACGCAGCGCGGTATGCAATATGTAGCTTTCGTTTAACACCTAGAATGTTCCACATCTTAGCCATTACTTCGCTGGTAAAATGACTACCTCTGTCTGACTCAATTCTTTGAGGCAGACCGAACCTGGAAAAGACATGGTTAATCAACAAAGTGGCGCACACGGTACTCGTGTTCTCTTTACAAGGCAAACATTCTATCCACTTTGTGTACATACATGTAACGGTTAACATGTATTTGTTACCTCTTGAAGATCTTGTTACAGGACCTATAAAGTCAATTTGAATATCAGACCAGGGTAATGACACCCCCCTCTTCTGAAGTGGTGCACGATGGGTTGGACCATGGGGTAGATATTGCGGACAAATCAAGCATCCCTGACAGTATGTCTTAACATCCCTTAACATGTGTGGCCAATATGCATAATCACGCAATATCTCATATGTGATCTTATCACCACGATGCCCAGATGTAGGTGCATCATGTGCGTGTTGGAGCATTAACCCTCTGTATACAGTTGGGACTACCCATTGTTGTATACCATGTTTAGAAGTTCTGACCAGTAACCCATCCATGATACTAAATTGGACTTTATATCTCATCAAGATTCGTAAATCTTCATTATCTTTGCAATCCTCATCTGTGATGGGATTGGCAGTAGGGTCTTCTATATGTTTATAGAATATACCTATGACGGGATCATTCTTTTGACTAGTAATTAGGTCCTCACTAGGAGCTTCTTGACTCCATTGCACGACATTTAAGTCGGCATTATCTCTAGCCTGTCGTCTAGTTATGGCTTCAACATGAATTGAACCCATAAGATCATCAATGTTTAGGGTTTCACCATTGATGGCAGCTTGTTTTGCCAGTGAATCGGCTAAGTCATTACCATCCTTGTCAATACCTTCTATTTTAGAATGGCCTTTGGTTTTCTTCCAATATATGGTTAAACCATTTTCCTTAACCAACTCATCAATTTTACAAAACAATTTCCCATGTTTAACAGGTTTGTTATTGCTTTTCAGCATTTGGTTACGTTTCCAGCTAGGCAGATATTCGACGAAACTGTTGCGAACATAGTTAGAATCAGTTATAATAACAAATTCTTTGATACCATATTCTATTGCCATTTGAATGGTCTTATATACTGCACAGAGTTCGGCTATCTGACTGCTTTTGGGACCAATATTGTATCTTATAGATACATTAGGATAATCACCTGTCCAGGCGATTCCGATACCTGCAACTAACTTCCGTTCAGCACCAACTACGTGGTGATATGAACAACCATCAATGTATACCCACGGTAGTGGTCGACAGTATTCCTCGTCATAAACTTTATAAGGAGATAGCAATTGCTCTTCTAGGAAGTCCTCTCCGGTGTCATTATCATCCAGAGATGGAGCAGTACAGTCATGTAATTCTGCTAAACCTTGGGCAACTGGGCTTTTCTTATTATGTTTATAACGGACTTCTAACGGCCATCTCTGTAAGGATAGAGTCCATGCAGTAATCCGACTGTTAGAGAGATTACCGTCTCTAATTCTTTCACTCTGCAGATACTGTAGAGGTTGGTGAGCTGTTTCTACAATTATTTTCTCACCTTGGATATAGCTACGAAAATTTTGTAGTGCCCAGACAGTCGACAATAACGCCTTCTCACACGTGTTGAATTTAACTTCAACAGGTGACAAAGTCTTGCTAGCATAACTGCTTCTGATACAAAACAGCACTTATGCTTAAATCGGTATATCCTGTCTCCAGATAGAAGGGTTTACCCCCCTCTGGGTATGCTAAACAGGGTGCCTGAGTGAGCTTCCTCCTCAGTTCACTTACCGCTTGGTCCTGAGGCTCCTCCCAGTTCCAGGTAGGTTCCTTTTTAAGCAGGTGTAAGAGTGGTTTAGTTATTTCTGCATAGTTATCTATAAACTTACGGGAGTAATTAGTCATACCAAGGAACGATCTTAATTCCCTGATGTTTGAAGGTGTTTTAGCCCTTAGTACGGCTTCAACCTTCTTCCTCTGGGGATTTAATCCTTCAGAAGTTACCTCATGTCCGAGGAAATTGACATGGGTGCGACACCATTGCGCCTTTTGTAAAGGCAGTTTAATCCCTGCCTCTCTTAACTGAGTGAGAACATGTCTAATCTCTAAGATATGCTTATCAAAGGAAGTGCTTTTCAGCAAGACATCGTCGACATATGATAACGTTCCTCTCTCGAGTGCATCAGGCATAGCTTTATGCATGAACACAGCGAATTCATGACCAGAGTTTATATAACCGAAAGGCATACGGGTCCAGGTATACTGCTGCTTTCCAAATGTGAAGGCCAATTTGTATTGGTCTTCATTATGGACTGGTACAGTCCAATATCCCTGCGCACAGTCAATGGCAGTGAATATTTTGGATCCCTGCATTTGTACCAAACATTGGTCTATGTATGGCGCTGGCCAACCAGACATATAGACGCGTTTATTTAGCTGTCGTAAGTCAGCGCATAAACGCCATTGTCCATTAGGTTTCAGAATCCCCAAGATCGGATTATTATACGAACTGTGCACTGGACGTATAATGCCCCTTTCCTTTAAATTCTGAATGATGTCTTGTAGACCATCATATGACGCTAATGGGAGTCTATATTGTTTGATAAATACAGGTGGTAAATTTGGATCAGTTTGTATTCTGGCTACGTGGAGGTTAGTTAACCCACAGTCGTAGGAATCTTTGGCAAAAATATCTTGGAATTCCAAAAGGATTTCCTTTAGCTGTTGCCGTTCAGCATCGTTGGAGCAACCGTCAGCTAAAGATATTTGCTCTTCTAGCCTTTCCTGAAATCCTGGAAAGATTTCAGGCTGGCCTATCTCATAAGCTTCTTCAAGCCTAGAAGTTAGGTCAGTTCGGTGTTGACTTACCTTTTCTCTTTGGTCGAGATACTCTTGTGATTCCTGCTCATTGAGCGGATGATCGAAGGTGATTGATGCTTCTTCGATTTTACACGAGCCTTCTTCAACGTTGAAGGGATATACAGATAGGATAGTGAATAATCCTTCTGGGGAGGAATGGAATATTTGATCGACAATTTCGTCCTCAGTTAAGTATTCTTCAGGGATGAGGCCTATAATTTGGTTTTGGAAACCAAATGTATAGTACTCAGCATCCAATGCTAGACCTAATAATGTTCCTTTTGGTAAAGTAACACTATTGGGTGTAACATTGTTGACCATGATATAGGTGGGATTCTTACCAATACTTACCATTGGTGTATGTGTTACCACCATCCCTAATTGTTGTATCCTGTTGGATAAACAGATTAGGGCATCAGAGTTTTCCAATCTCTGACCCTCCTTTACCTGTAGGGGTAAAAGAAAATTACTTGTCCCCTGTGGAATGGTTATGTCATCAGGAACTTGGATACTTACCGCATATGGGAGTATTTGTCCTGATTTCAAGGCGTTTTCCTCGTGAAGGTATCCACAAGGATTACCTTTTAACCTTGTCCACAAGTTGGAATTAATCAGGTCAAGGTGTATGGCAAAGCGATGTATGACATCATTGCCAATGTAAACCTGATAACGAGGTTCATCTATCACTAGGAATAAATGTTTAACTGTCTTATTTCCGATGGAAATAGATAGTAAACATTTTGCTATCACATTGTGACTCTCTGATTCGCCATCCAGGTTCTGGATCCACCTGTCATGTGGGGAAGCGTACCTGATCATTTTAGGATTAGCTATCTGCTTTAACAGACTTCTGCTAATATAGCTGTTCTCACTCTGTAAGTCCAGCTTTGCATTCCTACTTCTTCCTAAGTCATTTATTTGCATAGGAAAGAATAAGTTGTTATTAACCCTTTCAATTCTGGCAAGGAATTGAGCATGACCTGCCAGATCTACAGATTCAACATAGTCCCTGTGGAGAGAAATGGTTAAAATCACCTTCCAGAGAGACATTCTGGATCCTCTCTGGAGCAATTCTTACGGAATGCTCATCTACAGGTGCGATTGCATCATTCACCTGCAGGATAGTC